CATCGGTGCCCGCTTAACGTGTTCCTTTCTGTTCTGCCCTGGCTATGACCGCGTGCTGGGCAGCCAAGCAGAGAAACCAAGTACACACTGGCAAACAACACACACACACACAGGGCATACAGACACATGGTGGGGTTGCAGGAACAAAAGCAAGTGTATTAGACCCCTGAAGACACGCAATACATAAGACAAATCTACCTCCATTTATGCACACATCATGCTTCAGCTCTTCTGTGGAACGTGTGGATGTGTGCAGTCTATTCCAAATTAAAAAAAAAAAAATATTCAGATCCCCCTTCCCAGTATGGATCCACTATGTTCTTTCTAGTGTTTGGAAGCTGCTGGTTAATGGAGATGTTACCGTATGATAACTGTAGTCAGTAAGGTCAGATTTCATAGAATTCACTGGGTGTTGGTTCAGAGAAAGGAAACAGAGACTGTTTAGACTGTTTCTGCTCTTTCCTCAACATCTTGAGGTAATTGACCTCCCGCCTAGAACACACATTCAACATAACCACAGATGGGTTTGAAAATCCCCTCTCAAACACAATCTTGCTTGCCCTCCCACACACACACACACACACACACACACACACACATACAGACACACATTCAGCTTAGCAGCCCACATGCACTCCCTATTTTACAAATGCTGCGCATAAGCACTCATTCATACTCCACGCACATATACACGCATCGCTGAGAGAATATCCATGTCTCTGTGCTAAAACACTGCGGTACAGCTGTGAATAGGAGATGAAAGCCAGAGCTGAGCCAGGAATGATAAAAGTAGAGTGATTTCAATGCACTGCAGGCTCTTAAACAGCCATGGGATCTGCCTTTAAAGCAGGAGGGGTGCCGAGATCAGCCTCACAAAAATGAGTCTCTTAAATGATTAACTATGCACTTTGGACTTTATCAAATACATGCAAACTTGACAAAATGTATTATAGATTATTATTAACAAATTATATTAAGGCAGATTTACAACAACAATAAAACATTCTATAGAAGGCAATTGGAGTAATTTGTTGGCAGCCACGGCTTCACTACAGCAAGAACCACAATCACAACTGTTTATTAGACATTGAAAGCATCAACCACGCAGCTGAGAATAGCAAGCACAAGGCACAAAAGATAAATCCTTGATAGATTAGTGAACCTCTTTACAGCTGTGTGTGTGTGTGTGTGTGTGGCCTTGTTTTTCTATACTTGTGGAGCCCAAAATCCATGAGCTACTGTCTTCGCGGGAACCAGAGGAAGTTAAAACTGTCAGCACAAATATAGTAAATGGAAAAACCTGCACACACAAAAACTCGCTCCGCTCATGCAGCTGCAGTTTTGTTCTTTTGCATTTTGGTTGGAGAACATGAAACTTGCCTGTAAAAGCCTGCAGATACTGTACGTTGGTGTAAAGTAACTGTGGTGTGATGCAGAGGCAGCAAAATGTACAGATGGGGATAGGATGTTTGGAGCCCAGTGGAAAACAAAGACGGGAAGGTCTTGACCTTTTAAAGAATCACTCCAAGCTTTTGGAGCTCAGTGTCCATTCAGTTGTACCTATCCAGTAAATTAAAAAAAAAAAAAACACCAAAAAGCTAAACTGGCCAACAGATCAGCTCTTGTCTATTTTTAAGAGCAGAAATGAAAGACAATAGATAGAGGAGTTAAAGTAGTGGGATGTAATGAAACAGAGGAGGAAACAGTGGAGTGGAAGCAGAGTTAAGGAGGGAGTGGCCACTGGAAGTGGGTCACAGTGGCACTGACGTGATACAAAGTGACGTACCAAGAGGGGGACTGAGTCGCAGACACTGTCTGCGCCACTTTTTATCCTGTGCACATGTTCTCACATTAAGATGCCTCGGCTCAATTCAGTGGGTAAACAACACTTGTGCTGAGGTAAAAATAGCTTACCTGGTAAAAACAAGGTTTCCCCACTGCCTTCACTCTTTGTCTTTGTCTGTTTTGTTTACTGATGAAGATCACATTCAGGTCATGCATAATAACACTCTCTCAGTGCTTGTGTGTAAAAGACCAGATGCCGGGCCGAGTTTTGCAAGGTAATTATTTAGGCTCGCCTGTAGTCTGCTTTTCCTCCAGCTTCATGGAGGAGCAGTGACTAGGAGAAGATCTGAAGCTGGAGGAATGGAGGAGATAAAAGGTGGGAAGAGAGGCAGGGTTACCAGGGAACGCTTTAATTGCCAGACCCCTATCCCACCGAGATGACTCTCCAGAGCCAAGTGTTAAAGAGAGGGTGAAGGTGGGATTCTCCCTGCAGATCCCTGCGGCTGTGTGTGTGTGTGTGTGTGTGAGAGAGAGAGGTGTTTTGTACATGTTGTGTGTTCCTGTGAATTTTCCCATGGCAGATTAGCACATATTTGAGCATTTGACTAGTTAATCACGTCATGTGCGATGCTGCAGCTGTGTGCTCTGAGATTAAACGTATAAAATATCAGAGACTCATAGGTGGGGGGTGCTGTGGCACTCAGACTGCTCATGGCAGTGAGATTCTTCACTTGAGGCCAATTCTGGATTTCTCTAGTCAAATACAAGTAGTGAGAGCTGTATCAATAGTTGTCTTTGATTGTGTATTCGTTCTAAGAAGACACATAAGCCTCAGACTTTTGAGTTTATTGCATTATTGATGGAGAGATCCCCGTCTTTGTATTTAATCTAAATATACACACCACTTGGAAAAAAGCAGTCACCACTTATTTTCTATCCTCCCCCTATTTCAGGGGCTTCTCCCCTTGTCTGAGTGTGCTGGTGCTGACTGAAGGCTGAGGAACCTTCATCCTAATCAGCTTGAGATCTGGCTGCAGGTCAGGCCAGCAGGATGAATCCAGATTACAGGGGCAAAAGGCAGGAAGAGAGGATTACCGGCTCTGTCCAGCTGCTGGCTAACCAACCAACTGACACCACTGTCTTCACTGGACCTCCTAAAGAGTCCAGGGACAACACATACACTGAATAGGCCTGCTACTGTCATTCACCCCCGTCTACTCGGGTCTTGGGAAAGGGAGGAATTTTCTGTATTTAGTGCCATTTTACACCATCATAAAGACATGTTTAAATGCACTTTGGTGACCTAGATACTGTAAAACTTTTGTTTGCATGCTTCTGGTCAGTTTTCAGATTTCTCCTCATCCACTACCATTTTATTAAACAAAGGCTGGCATGTTTCAAGTGTATTAGTGATCTGGAGCATTTGGACTGATGCTGAAGTGAGAGAACATGCTCAGTACTGAGAGAGCACACATTGCATCTGTCTGAATTTCACAAATAGTCTACTGTTCAGCTCTGAAAACATATTGATTTATTTTTGCACCACTGTATGTGCAAGTCAGACTTGGGATCTAACTATAATGATGATTCCTTTAATCCTAAATCTCTGATGTCCTAGTAAAATGCCTAAATTGTAAACATTTAAATCCCATTAGAACCCATTTAGAAGCTCGTATCTGTATGTACTTATCTAAAATATGATTTGAGAAACTGGGTTTTAGATTCACATGATATTTATAAGAATTCAGGTTGCTGCAGAACGCTGACAGTCTGCTTAGGTTCATGTAATCATACTTGACCTCTGTGTAAATAACGCTTTAACACCTACTGTATTTGTGTGTCACTGCAGTTGCATAGTCCAGGCTGCCTCAATGTGTTTTCTGGAGAATAGCACCTCCTGGTTGCGCAGGCCTGGTCAACTAAGTCATGTGAATAACGCAGTCTGGTTAGACTTGTTTGGGTAAAACGGAGGTAACCAACTTACCTCGCTGATGCAACAGGTATATGCTGCAGCCTAGTGACTTCAAATCTCTGTCTTACTCAGCCCATCATTTTCATCTGCAACCTCCCCACTGGCTCTGTCGCACAGCCTCTGCTGTCAGCCTCTCTGTACTTAATGAGATAGAGCTGTCAGTGCAGCGGTGTGCTCCTCATATGCGTAACTCGGCTTTGATCTCTCTGTAAATTAAACATATCTTGTTAGGTAACAGGCTGTGTGCCACCTGCTGAGTCAAACCGCATCTCCACTCTTCATCACACAGCTCCTGTCCCTCGGTTGAACTCAGTAAAGCTGATTTACGTTAACGCAGTGCTGTTTTATCAGGATCAAATCTCTGTGGAGCAGTTAGACCACAGTTTCTCTTGTTTGTCAAGTAAAGAGACAGCTTAATGACAAATCTCAAATATGTCATTGATGTTTGTTTCATATTAAATGTGGGGTGCAGGATGACAGTATGTGGACCAGACTGGGAAATGAGATCAAAAGTTAGGTCAAGCACTGGTGATCTGGGTGGAAATGCTCAGTGCTTTACTCTTGACATCAGGGTATATCTACATTTTAATTTTTATTTATTTTTTTCAAGCATATAATGACTTTGTAAGGGGGATTATTAGACCGATTTGTGTAGCATTTCTCTGTTTTATGTGACAGTAAATAGAATATCTTGGGATATTCGACTGCTGCTCGACAAGCTATTTGGTAACATAACACAAACATGAACATTTGTAGGTTGAAATCATCAAATACAATGTAATAACTTCACTGTTCATGAATATAATTGTTTGTTGCGGCTCAACTAGCAGTGTTACTTTTTTTTGTTTAACCATTAGTCCAGTACTTTGATTTCTGATCAAATACCTGCAAGATTAATGACATTGAAAGTAAAATAGTGGACACATTAATTGATGATAAAACTAAATATTAATCACTTAAATTACTTAAAATACTTGTAACTTACCTGGAGAAGTCCAGTATAGTAATTCCATAACAAGCACAACAAACAGCATTGAGTCAATGAGGCAAAATATGTTGTTTAACTATGATGTGATGTCTTTTTTTTTTTTTTTGGCGAATGGTCATTCACAAGCTGTTTTAGGGTTTTATAAAGAGACTTTTCAACCTCTATGTGGTCCTTTTGCTCCAGTGGTCCCTGCCTGCTTCCCACTTTTTGAAATGCTAATCACTTCTCCACTCTTTTTCTCCATCTCTCCTCCAGATTCCTCCTCCAACTACATCAGGCAGCTGGAAACGAAAGTGCAGATCCTGGAGGATGACAACAATAAACTCCTTTCACAGGTGGGGTACATGTACGTAAATCTGAGCGTCACTTTCATGTTCTCCCTCTCTGTCAGTTAGCCATACTATTAGCCCAGTCCGGTACGGTTTCAACTTTAACTCTTTCAAGACCACTCTTGTGCAACTTCTTAACTCACCTAGAACCTTGTAATAGACAGAATATGGTAAGATGGTGAGTTGCATGGTGATGCCTGTGTGAAGCCACCCCCTTACAACAGCATGCCTGTTAGTTGATGAAAATGTTTATCTATGTTTAATTCATGGAGAATCCGTAAGTGTCAATAGCAAGCAGTGATGCTAGCCTCCAAGGCGAACTGTGGGAGCAGAGGAGAAAAGGGAGGGGAAAGAGCCATTAAATGACAGTGACAGAGTGAAGCATTTCTCCCAAATTTGACTCTGACTGGAAATGTGAAAAGAAGAGGGTGGATTTTGGATCTGGTTCACCAGGAGGTCACGTCAGTCTGTAGAGGTGCATGTTACTTGGTCATGTCTATGGGATCAAACAGTCAAAGACTCAATGTTATTGCTAATTTATATGAAGACTTCATAAACATCAGAAAATATCTTCACATATTAGCCTATGTTATTTTTCTCTCACAAGGTTTTCTGATGTGATTCAGTTCATTTGAAAGCAAGCCAGGCTTCAGGCAGTCAAGTTGGAATTTCATGGTTTAAATGGCTTTTTGATTCAGTCTTTTGAAAGACTTCCGTTTTTTTTTTTTTTTTAAGTGATTTCAGTTTCTGAAGTTTTCTCCCAGCAGATTCATATGTAGGCAGAGAATGTAGGCTGGAATCACTGGTATGAAATCTAAGTGATCCTAATAATTAGCCCTCAAGTGCTACAATTAAGTGTTACACATTGTCTCAGTTGTTAAGGCATAATAAGAACTTAGTCAATTAATAGTCCATGTTCATATTTGAAATGTTTTTTCTTTTCCTATTCTTTAGATTTGAGGTTGGGTTGAGAATGTGTTTGCTGTAATAAGACAGTCTAGTAATGTACCATTCCACCGTTATTCTCTCTCCCTAGGCTTATAGCCGGTATAGCTTATCACAAATACAGAAGAAAAAGGTAATTTTTTTTAAATGCCACTTATTGTCGGCTTTTCTGAAATGCTCCTCTGCTGGTCAACTGGTTGGGCCTCTTTTGCCTTTTCACTCTTTATTCTGTTTGGTGGTGGGACTTTTCACAGATTTGAGCTTGTTGCTGTCTCTTACACACATGGTGTAGACACAATAAATGAAATATAAAAGCAGAACCATGCATTGTAATGCAACCTGGTTGCAGTAACCCTGAATTGGATAATGTTAAGATTGCCATGATACTGACAGACAGGCGCTGAAGAAACCCTATGGTAATGCTTGTATATAGTTAAATATTTTAGAAAATATTCTTATGCACTTCATGCTGAGAGTGAGATAAGATAACTGATAACACATTCATATTTGTACGCAAAATAAGAAGCTACAGCTAGTTACCTACCTTAGCTCTTCATGAAGACTGGAAACAGAGCCCTCGGGCTGTCACAGAACTGACTTGGTCAAACCTCAGGTGGTTTATGAGCCACAGACATGCTCCAAATACAGTGGTGTGACAAAGTGTTTGCCCCCTTACTGATTTCTTATCTTTTTGCATGTTTGTCACACTGTAATGTTTCAGATCATCAAACAAATTTAAATATTAGTCAACGATAACACAAGTAAACACATCATGCAGTTTTTAAATGAAGGTTTTTATTATTAAGGGAAAACAAAATCCAAAACTATATAGCCCTGTGTGAACAAGTGTTTGCCCCCCTGTCAAAACACTGGTTTATCGCACCTGAGTTCAATTTCTCTAGCCACACCCAGGCCTGATTACTGCCACACCTGTTCGCAATCAAGAAATCACTTAAATAGGACCTGCCTGACAAAGTGAAGTAGACCAAAAGATCCTCAAAAGCTAGACATCATGCCGAGATCCAAAGAAATTCAAAACCAAATGAGAAAGAGAATAATTGAGCTCTATCAGTTTGGAAAAGGTTATAAAGCCATTTCTAAAGCTTTGGGACTGCAGCGAACCACAGTGAGAGCCATTATCCACAAATGGCGAAAACATGGAACAGTGGAGAACCTTCCCAGGAGTGGCCGGCCGACCAAAATTACCCCAAGAGCGCAGCGACAACTCATCCAAGAGGTCACAAAAGACCCCACAACAACATCCAAAGAACTGCAGGCCTCACTTGCCTCAGTTAAGGTGAGTGTTCATGACTCCACCATAAGAAAGAGACTGGGCAAAAATGGTTTGCATGGCAGAGTTCCAAGACGAAAACCACTGCTGAGCAAAAAGAACATAAAGGCTCGTCTCAGTTTTGCCAGAAAACATCTTGATGATCCCCAAGACTTTTGGGATAATACTCTGTGGACAGACGAGACAAAAGTTGAACTTTTTGGAAGGTGTGTGTCCCATTATGTGTGGTGTAAAAGTAACACCGCATTTCAGAAAAAGAACATCATACCAACAGTAAAATATGGTGGTGGTAGTGTGATGGTCTGGGGCTGTTTTGCTGCTTCAGGCCCTGGAAGACATGCTGTGATAAGTGGAACCATGAATTCTGCTGTGTACCAAAATATCCTGAAGGAGAATGTCCGGCCATCCGTTTGTGACCTCAAGCTGAAGCGAACTTGGGTTCTGCAGCAGGACAATGATCCAAAGCACACCAGCAAGTCCACTTCTGAATGGCTGAAGAAAAACAAAATGAAGACTTTGGAGTGGCCTAGTCAAAGTCCTGACCTGAATCCAATTGAGATGCTGTGGCATGACCTTAAAAAGGCAGTTCATGCCCGAAAACCTTCCAATGTGGCTGACTTACAACAATTCTGCCAAGATGAGTGGGCCAAAATTCCTCCACAGCGCTGTGGCAGACTCATGGCAAGTTATCGAAAACGCTTGATTGCAGTTGTTGCTGCTAAGGGTGGCCCAACCAGTTATTAGGTTTAGGGGGCAAACACTTATTCACACAGGGCTTTGTAGTTTTGGATTTTGTTTTCCCTTAATAATAAAAACCTTCATTTAAAAACTGCATGATGTGTTTACTTGTGTTATCGTTGACTAATATTTAAATTTGTTTGATGATCTGAAACATTACAGTGTGACAAACATGCAAAAAGATAAGAAATCAGTAAGGGGGCAAATACTTTTTCACACCACTGTAGCTTGTAACAACATCCACTTAGCTTATCTTATCACCTGGCTAAGAAAGTCCCACACACAACCCCCCAAAAAAACAGGAACTTATTTTTTATGCTAGTTGTTGTATGGATTAAAGGAACAGGACATAACATATTGATTAGTAAACCTTAGAGGTACTGGTTGGCAGATTTTTTTTAAGCTTTAGTCAGGTGTGCCATTTCCAGTTTTTATGCTAAACTAAACAGCTGATAGCTGTAGTTTCATATCTACCCTACAGGCATAATGTTCGAATATCCAGTGTTGTATCTAATATTTTCTCCATCATAATAAAGTCCAATACAACAAAGTCTTAGTTTTTCAAGCACTACAGAATGGAATTGGATTATCTTATAGAAGTGTTGCTTCTATGTCCAGTTTTGTTTCCCCCCCCTTTATGTACAGCTAGCATGCTATGCTAATAAATGAACACAGGTGACCCTGCTTGTGTGTGGCCTGTCTTGGAAAGAAAGTCCTTTTCTGTTCTTGGAGCTGCTGTGCACCACACAGTCTGTGCTTGGTACAAGGTACCCTAGGTCAATGAATGCCACATTTTGCTTTGGAGAATAAAACCTTTTAAACCTGCTTGCCCTGACTTGTCAGGACATATGGTGAGCTGAATAATTTAAGATCTTGAAAGTGTACCCAAATGAATAATGAAAAAATGGGGATTTGTCCAGTTTCGTGTTTAATTTAACTCTTGTTCTATAGTCTACTCAAGTATGTGGCTGAATACTAGCAGCTGGATTAGTTACCTCAATGGACATACCTTCCTGTGTTATGAAACAGGCCCAGTGAAACTTGTTAACAATAGCTTCTTATCGCAGGAGTGTTGCCCCTCCCTCCCGCTTAGCTTATAAGGATTTTACTCTACTCAAGGAGCAAGGGAGGGAGTTCATAGCATGTCCCTGTGGCACATATTACGTCCCATAATATACAGGTGTAAACACCGTAAGGAAAACACTTGTGTGTGTGTGTACACACACACACACACTGATCATGCTCAGCCACATACATCTACACAATTAGCTCTTTAGCTCTTCTCCCACTCAGATATCTTTGAACTGTTACTTATCTCTTTTAAATCAGTGACATGTGAGACACTGGGTTTCCTTACCTGCTCACTGCCACTTTATCATTAACAAGCAAGTGCTCACTGTTACTCTGAGAATCATTTAGATGACTCAGGTGATACTTCATCTCTTAACTGCAGGCTAAACTGAAGTCATTTTGTGAGAATGGACTGCAGGTCCAGTGGATTTGAATGGTGACAGAGGATAATGAATTGGGGCTTATTCACATTCGTGTTACATTCAGGTTACAGTATCACTGATTTATCCAGTGAGAAATCTGATTGGCCACAAGAAGAAAAACTGGAACACAGTTTACAATGTTAACAGTAGCAGTTTTGCCATCTGAGTTCTTACAATTGGTCTCATTCTTAGTATTCAGGCAGAGGCCGACAAAAGCAGGCTTCTTATTTTTAGCCAGTGACTGATGATTTTGCTGGTTAAAGTGACAACTATCAGCTCTAGCTAACTTCCTAATTTAATGTTTTCTCATTGAGTTGGTTGGAAATGCTATCTGATTTTTCAGTGTTTCCGACTGATTTGTTTAAAAGCAAAGAACTTTGTTAAAATGGGTTCTTGATGGCATAGCATACAGTACGATATCCTGTTAGCATTGTTGCAACCCCTGTCGATCCACACGACTGAAATAAGCAGTTATTCTTGTATTGTGGTGTATAGCGTGGGTTACCCATACTGAACTGGTTCTGTTATGTATTCCATTAAATTATGGCCCTCAAGGAGCACACTGCCATCCTCTCTACCCTCTTGTCAAGGTGCCATCAGTGGCACCCCTCATAACTCAGACAGGGACTGATGCGACCACAGCTTCTCCCTGTCAGCAGCAAGTACACTGTGATGGATGGGTAGATGAAGGGGGCCACGAACACTGTGAATGGCCAACTGTCCCTAGCTGTCTGTCTAATAAATAGGTTTGCTGGTCTCAGTGGTCAAGGTCAGCTCAGGGATGGAAGTACACTTGGAGATGTGTTGATTGGTTTGCAACACTAGACTCAGTATAACAAGAATCTTCATTTGCTGGTGGAAACCATGTCAGAAAACTCTTAATGATCTTACCAGGTCTAATTCAGATGTGTTTATCTCATGGATTGTGCATCTGTCACTCCTCCAGATATGACATACAGTATCTTGCTGACAGATACAAAGCCTGGAGAAATGGCAAGGAAATGTTAGCAAATGTACAGAAGTAAGGGTATGAATATAAAAACCCAAAGGATACCTCCAGAAGCACTGAGGGAAGGATTGGGAAAGGTTAGGGGAACATTAACAGGATACTGAGCTGGAAGACAAGAGGAGAGGAGGGGCGCATCAAAGGACAGATAAAGCAAGAGGAATGCTGATTAAGGCCTTGCGTGTGCAAACTTTGTGAATGTGCACCTGAGTGTGTGACACAGCACAGTGTCCGCACAGTGTCCACGCATTCAAAGCCGCACACTCATGGCTTACCGGCTTATTTATAGCCTGAGTGCTCCCAGGCATCACGTGTGTTTACATGCCACAGCGCCCCTCGCTCAGAGGGAATGCTAGCATGTGGCATGATAAATGTCACAAGTAACAGCGGTGTGGCCATGTTCCTGCCTACAGAGAGAAGCTGGTCCCTGCCCCCACGAACCAGTGGTCTTTGGCTGCTAATGAGGACAAACCCTAGGACTACTGTCTCTGCGTAATGACCCTTAAATACGGCACAACATGATACAGCCCCAGTGCTCTGGAAGTGCCATTTATGTAGCAAAGCCACAACAAATAAAAATCAGCTTTGCAAATAAAGTGCTTGAGGCAGTAGTGTCAGAGGTGTGATGAGAGTGCAAGTGCCAGTGTAGGAGGTGGGCAGAGCTGCTGAGGTCTTAATGAGCCATCACTGAAGATCTTAAAGCCTGATTGAAACATTGGCTGATATTATCTGACAATGTCAGGTTACAGATTTATTGGTATCGGTGCGGAAACTGCAGAAAGACTCAGTACAGTACAGTTATTTGCAGCCATAAATACTTATCTGGCAGCATTTGGAACATTTTAATCTTTCTCAATCTTTACCATAGTGGAAACACTTAGGTCTGGTTTAATACAAAGTGCAGTAGGATAGTTACAGCTGAAGATCTTTAACTACTAGGGATATAGAGTAATGTCTGTATGGTATGTAAATGTATTACTATAGTTCTGACACATGAAACTGATTCAATCTGAGTCACAGCAGTGATGGAAAAATGTCAATTCATTGTGCTGAGTCACAGAGCTGGCTGAAAATCATTTGATTTCCTGCCTGTTTGTTTCTTTGTATTTCTTCTATTTCAGTTTCTCTAAGTGCTATCAGGTGATATGGTATCGAAGCCTTACTGTATAGCTGTTGCTGTGTGTGTGTGTTTTGTACCCAGCAGTGTAACCTAGGTGACCTTCGTGTCCTGAGGAAGGGAATGACCCTGTACCACTCAGAGTCCCAGCTGTCCTCACTGCCCCAACGCCAGGACACCATGCACCTGGTCAGTACCCAGGAGGCTCACACAACCCACACACACACACACACGTAGAGGGATGCCCACACATACCAGACCATTAAACAGTCATAGCTGAAAATCAGTACTGCTTTTAATCAATGTGGTTATGTATAGAAACTGTGCACGCATTTAATTGTAGGGAGGACTATGCCGGTGTCTTCACAGCAGAATCAAGTCAAGTCAACCCAGTTCACTTTACTGCTAACTCTCCAATTATTCCTCCACAGGCAGCCTCACTCTCTCTTACACATGACAGGAGTGAAACACACAGACACCAACAGAGGAACAGAGAGAGAGAGAGGGGGAAGATAAAGAAAGTGTGACAGGAGGTGGGGCATGAGGGGGATAAAACTGGGAAAAAGAAAGGAGGAACAAGAAACTACAATAGAGACAAGAAAGAAAAGTTAACAGCAATTAGCCTTCCCTTCTCTTCCTCTCATATCCTTCAGCTCCGTCCTTCTCCCTGGAGCTAGTTTGAACTGAATCCTACTATAACATAATCTTTTACAATCCACCACCACCCCTGACCGTGCCATTGTTTGAGGAGGAGAGGCTGGATAATTGTTTTCTGACTACTCAAGGGAGGTTAGAGCTGGGCTGTGCCACTACCTAGAAGACTAGATCCTCCCTGTGTAAAAAACCAATATTGTGTTTTAATCACAGGCCTCTTGTGAAGCACGATCATGACTGTGTTCAGAGCCACTTCGCACCTTTTAAGCTTGTGGATCAGACTTGCTTCTTCATGGAGGTTTGTGACGTTCAACGGTGTTCGTGAACCTTAACCCAACAAGAGGTCTCTCCCTGCAGGAGGGGGAATAAGCTCCAATTTGTCTTGATGGTCATCTCCCCACATTTAATTTCACAGTGCTGGTTCACATAAAAGAAGGCCATGATACTGATTCGTGGTGTGACTTCTGGCTCCTTGCAGACATGCCATTGTTGTCATTCTGATATTGTCAATAAAAGGATCAGTAAAGAGACTGAAAATCAGACTTGTGACACTACATTTAGGATTTATTCCTTTAAATCCTCCTGTCATTTGCTGCAACCAGAAACTTACCAGCTTCCCTGATGTTTAGTTATTCTTGTTATAAGTCTTATTTTTTGTAGTAATTTTTATCTAATTAAGTGGAGATTTACAAGCGGCGGAAATGAGTTTCCTCCGGAGAGTGGCCGGGCGCACCCTCGGGGATAGGGTGCGGAGCTCAGTCACCCATGAGGAGCTTGGAGTAGAGCCGCTGCTCCTCCATGTTGAGAGGAACCAGTTGAGGTGGCTTGGGTACCTGTTTAGGATGCCCCCTGGACACCTGGGGAGTTATTCTGGGCATGTCCCTTTGGGAGAAGGCCTTGGGGCAGACCCAGGACACATTGGAGAGACTATGTCTCCTGGCTGGCCTGGGAATGCCTTGGGGTTCCTCCTGAGGAGCTAGAGGAGGTGTGTGGGGAGAGGGAAGTCTGGGAGGCTCTGCTCGGACTACTGCCCCTGCGACCCGGTCTCGGATAAAGCGAACAAAGATGGATGGATGGAAGTGGAGATCTGTGTATCCTTAAACTCTAAATTCTTCCATAATGATTAGTTGTCACAAAATATTTATACCCACTAACAGCTAGGTGTTACATAGCTAACTGGCAGAGCTAAGGGTGGCTTGCTAATATATGAAATGTTAAAATTGGAACTGAAATTATTTTTCACAAAAATAATATACAGTACCTCAAATTATTAAACATTGTTAAAGTCAGTCAGGTGGTGTAATTGGATATTTTAGTCTTACTTTACTTTGAACTACACATGAATACTGCTGGTGTAACTGAAACATTTCTCTGCAGATATAAAAGTTAAAATTACAAAGTACTGACGATTAACTTTAAAAGAATAGTTGGACATTTATGTTTGCTTTGTTGTTAAGAGATGGAGGGACACTGCTACAGCCAGCAGCCGGCTAGCTTAGTTTAGCTTAGCTTAGCAGAATGGTGGCTGGATTTGTCTGAGGGTTACACAATTCTCCTAGCATCAGCAGCTCACCAATCAACACATTACATCTTGTTTATTTCCAAAAGAAAAAAAGTAGAAGCAAATATCAGCAAGTCAGTCATACGCAGCAGAGAATAACTTGTTCTTGTGATTCAGTAAACCGGACTCTCGCTGTACCCATCCTAATCTGTCAACTCTTTCTTTATGTTAAATCCTTTGTTTGTCATTCGGGTCAGTGAGTGTGTGTCTGAGGCTGTCAGATGAGCAGGAAAGAGGAAAAGAAGAGATGGCTGGAGAAAGAAAGTGGCCAGCCTGCATGATTCAGTCAGCTTTGACTATATGCTCAAATGCCAAAACAGTGATTCTGACAGCATCTGAGCCCCCCGCCCATCCTGCAAAGCTTGTTTACTCTGGCAAGCCATCCCCACTTGTACATCCATATCCATATGAAGAATAAAAACTGCCCAAAGCCGCTCTATCCAAATTGTTTTCTTTACTGTGAAGTGCCTGCACAGAATAAACTGAAAAACCCGCCCTGTCACATTTCACATAACGGCTTCAACCCACAAAACGGAGCATCAAAAGGACACAACAGCGATGCACTTTTTTTTTTTTTTTGATGTTGAATTTAAAGTTCATCGCAGAAGAGTTGTATGGAAAACTAAGCTTGACCTTAAAGAAGAGGAAGTGCATGTAAAACTGGGGGATGTTTGTTTTTAACAAAGGGATTGTTGTTCTCTATGTAGTTTGATTACAAATGTTGACTTGCCCTTTTTCCCCTCACAAATCGGGCATATTCATCTTTGACCATTTTAGAAAATAAATAAATGCTTATTATCAGAGTTCATTCAAGATGAACAGTTTTTCTTATGGTTTCTACAGTTGTCATGGGAGCATTTGTCAGGACCAGCAAAAATTCAGTTTTTCATGTGTTTGGTGGGATATGAATAGACTGTTGAGCAGTTTCCACAAAACATCCCTCTTGGCTGCAGTGGGATTATTTTATCTCTGCGCTATTGGGTTGTGTGGGCTCATTCTGGCTCCCAAATGGGGCCAGCGGGTGTGGAGGGGAGCTGACAAACCCATCACAAGTGAGCGGAGAATTGAACCTAGGCTAACAGAGCCATGGAGCTGTGTCTAATGCAGGGCACTGATGCCAGGTTACGTTGAATGGTACCATTGTGTGTCCCAGAGATCTCTGTGTCCCTTTAACAGTGAGCCACTGTCTGGAACTAACCAGGGGGTGGGATGAGTCAAGGAAACCCCCCTGGTTGGCTGCTCCCGTCACACCAGGTTAAATCGTACTGTGCAGGTAGCAGGCCTGGCTGGCGGCTGAGCATGTGGTGAATGTAATAGGGGAAAAGAACACAAGATGAGGAGAGGTGATTTGAGCTGGGATGAAGGAGATGGCATTTTTAGTGTTGCAGTGTAGAATATTTTTCTTGTTACATCAGATCCAACGCCAACTGATAAGGTGCTATTTTCACTCCTGGAGTTAAACTCTGTGTGACAGCAGATGTGACAGAACAGTTAGTCTGCAGAGCATGTCCTCCACATGGACAATGTTTAGACCTGGCTCTAAACCTTTATCGCAGGTCACACTTTCTCTTACAACTTTATTTCTGGACATACAATGACACAAAGCCTTAAAATAATTTTATTTTTTGTTTATTCTTTTTCTCCCCTTAGGGTACAGGCCGTCTCTCCAGTGGCCCCTCCCCTGCCACAGGCTACCTGTCCTGCGTCCAGAAGCCTGAGGCCGTGGTGCATGCCATGAAGGTCCTAGATTCACTTCATAATTTATATTTTGAGGAAATTCTGTTGGGAAAACCACAGTTTTGATGATCACCGCCATACTAAATGGAGTCCAGTTTTGACACTTCTTTTACCAGAACTGTTTTTTTTACTGTGCAATGATGTTTTCAGTTTTTCTTACCTCTTTACTTCACTCTGTACACTGTATGCTACTGCTGCATACTGTGCTGTTTAGTAGAGAACTCTGCTACACTGCTGTTAAGGCTTCAATACAAATGAATTCATGAGTTGAGAAGGGAACTCGGATTTTTCATTATCTGCGTTGAGTGTAAACAGGTAGTTTGCCTCATTTTAAGGTAAAACATGTATGAGATTTATGAAATATACTCTATATGACAGTGTAGCATGCATTCCACAAATTAGTCAAATATTTTACTAACAATTTAAATGAAAATAAAAACCTTTGGCATTGTAAGTGCTTTGCTGTTAGTGAATATGCCAGATAAAGGAGCTTTAAAGTTTGTTTTTGCTGTAAAATTACTAACCTAACACTTAACCATGAATCTAATTATGGTGGGGTCATGGTCATATGACTGCTTAGAAATACACCCGCTTATTAATATATTTGCCATCAGGTGCTGGAGGTCCACGAGAACTTGGACAAGCAGGTTCCTGAGGACTATGAGGATGATCTCAGTGAGAAAGAGAAGGCCATCGTGCGGGAAATGTGCAACGTAAGTGCAACACCTGCCCTCCTCTCCTGACTTCCTTTCCTATTACTTCTGAGCACACTGCTTGGAGCTGTTTACACAGTATGTGGTAATAAGCATCGGAGGACCTTGGTATGTATTGCATGAGAATGCATTTCTTATGAGAAGGTAGAACAGCATGAGGTGTAATCATCTACAGTTAATCAGTCACTAGTTTAGCACTAATGCTGAACATAATCAAGACAAAGCAGTAAAACATGTCTGTTATCAGGCGTGGGCAGTTCTGGTCCCCGAATGCCACTGCCCTGCCCAACCCACTGCTGATTAGCTGGATCAGGTGTGTTCAGTCAGTCAGAAGCTGGAAGATACCAATTCACTGTCTAAGATGGTATCCTCCACCTGAACTGCCTGGCCCTGCTGTAAACAGAGGAACCTTATGCCATTGATGTACTTGTTTGTTGTCTGTTGTCCTGGGTGCAAATCAGGTCAGTGATTGAGCTGCTTCCGCTAATGAGGAAACCTCATTTAGACTCATTTGCCTTGGACTGACACTTGCAGTAGTGTCCTGGGCACAGCGTTCCCTTTCGCTTTCCCTTTATTCTCTTTCTCTTTCCCCACCCTCCTCACTCCCCTTGTCTTTGTGCCAAAGTCAACCTGAAACTAGAAGCCCTAGGTACAGTAGAAGCTTGTAGTTGAGCTGTCACAGCAATTAAACTGGAGTGGCAGGGTAAAAAGAGCACTCCTCCTGTGCTGCAGCCTCACCCTCTTCTCCACCCTCCCCATCATTTCCCCTCCATCTTTTGCTGTTCTGGGATAAAAAAGGTCTGCTGATTAGTGAGAGAATGAGAGCTGGGCTGTCTGGGTACTGCGGAGGTATGTAACAGGCCAGGGTTGTGAGGAGCACTACAGTAGTACCTCTGTAATGCCACATGGGACCCCCAGGGAGCCCATCGCACTCCCTGGCTCAGAGATCTCAGGGCTCAGACATCTCAGCACCCAGAGATACTTTACTGTAATGTGTGTGTGTGTGCTGTCTTTGCAGTTCCAAGTCAGACTGTGAGCATTTGAAGTTTTCACACTTGAAGAAGAAAGTCTTTTTGCTTCTGCATAGTCTCACTCTTTCAGTCTGTGCCTCTGTGTCTGTCTTGCTCTTCCTCTTTCCCGCTCAAGTCCTCTTTTCGCTTCTGTTTGCAGGTGGTGTGGAGAAAGCTGGGTGACGCAGCAGGATCAAAGCTGTCCGTCAGACAGCACCTCTCTGGAAACCAGTTCAAAGGGCCGCTGTAGCGTGGCAACCAGTGAAAGACAGAGAGAGAGAAAGATCAGGATCTTGCCGTACCTACACTCACCTGGAAACACCTTTACTACCTGCGCCTACACAACCCATCATGCCAGGCTCCCTACTGCCTGCAGCAGCCAGTATTCCTTCAATAGACACTGTCTTAAGACTGGCTAAGGTAGCTACAAAATGGACCCGTTAGTTTGTTTTTCAGATGTACAACTTTACGTGTGCAGAATGGTTTCATTTCTCAGAGCTTATGTCAACAACTGGCAGCTAGTTTCACTGATTCTCCACTTTTCTTCATTGATTTGGAGGTTTTGGTTACACATTGATCTCTCTCTGTAAACAGCTGCGCACGCACGCACACACACACACACACACACACCACTTTTAGATTTTAGTCCTTTGTAGAGCAGTGCTACATTAAGCCAGCGACATGACATGGTTTCAAGCACAGGAGCGACAAGGCTGCAGGGGCAGGAATCTCTTCACGTGTTGCTGTGATGTGATGGCAACAGTGTGGCAGTATCTTCAGATAAGTTTTGACAGTACCTCCAATAGACACCCCAGCTCCTGTCACATGTATCACACCCTAGTGGTCAACAAGTATAACTAGCATTAGCATTCTAAAGTGATAGTGAAACCCACTGTGACCTAGCGCCTTTTGCTCATAAGACAAGTCTAGAGATCACTGTTAACATGTGTATATTATGTATAAACCATAGCACTACTTCATTTTTATTGTTGATTTTACCTTTATCTATTTTGTATTCTAGCGTGGCCATGTGATCAGTTATTTAGTTTGAGAAGTACACACAACCGGACCTTAAACAGGGTTTGCTTTTGGTCATAAACTTAACTAGTTTTATGATTGTTTGTTTGTTTTTTCATTCTTTTCTAGAAGAATTGCTTCTCTGTAACCTCTGAAAATATATCAAGGCCATTTTGAATCAGATCATCTCAATAAGATGAAATTAACAAAAGCTGTATGCTGTGTGCATGCTTGACAATCATTTTCTCAGGTTGGGAGGGCTACAGCTTTACCTCTGCCCGTCTGCGACTGCGAGTGTGTGCCAGCGTGCATGTGTGAGACTGAATGGTTCTCTTGCAGCTGTAGCATCTTCCTGTAAATCCTCTTTTTCTCTACCGAACCCTGGTTACAACACGGTTGAAGACTGCTGAAGACACTTGCTAAATCCATACAAAAATTGTCGTCCCATTAACAGTAAGAAGATTTTAACCCTAAATTCAGTTTGGATTGTTTTTGATAAATCACTTTATATCTAAGTGTATGAGAAATGTCAGACCTTTTCTTTTTGATGTGGATTTAGCAGGTGCATTTATGCAGTGCATGTTTCTTTAAGTTGTTTTTTTTTTTCTTAGAATATGAGATGTCTTCCCTTAGATGTCTCCTGAAACTAACATTTAAAATGAGTATTCTTGATGTCAGAATGAACAAACATTGTTTGTCAAAGTATTTATTGCCATGTGTCAGAGGTGGGAGTGCTGTCAGTAACTGAGCAGTGCTAATTTATTTGGATCAGTTTAGTGACTGGCCACTCAGGCTCTCCCATCTCTGGTGTTCTTTGTTCCAAATTAGAACATTTCTGAGGCTGCTTGCCATGCACCTCTGTTCTCTCAAATAATGGCTCAAAAAATTAATCAAAGTATGATTTTTGAAAAGTGTCCTTTTTTTCTAGGAACTATTTTGAAGCCATGATATAATTTTGAATACTTTATACATGGCATTTAGTTTGAGATGTGCCACATTTTGTTCTGCATGGTGGTTTTGGTTTGGAACCCTGTCTTTTTTTTTTAACATCTATAGTGTTTCTTTTTTCTGCCTATATATTAAAACCATAGAACAGAATCCTAGAATCTTCAGCCTACATGTCAATTCCTGTAGTAATTTAGTTTGGCTGTATCTTCCTTTCATGGAATTCACTGATAATATTTGGCAGGTGAAAAGAAAACATGTAAGAGGCCACTTTTAGGTGGAAAAAATGGGAGTAAATAAAGTTTGTTAATGACCCTGTAAGGTGCTGTATTTTTTGGATGGCTGTTTACAGGCATGTTTTCTTCATTGGATGAGTTAGACTGCCCTCTGTTGGAACAGAACTGGATGTAAAACCACACATGACTTCCTGTGAAGTTTTGTACATCAGTGATTTCCAATCAGCTATAATTAAAAGGTATGATTTGCTTAATGTTGAGGAAAATTAAGAGCCAACTAGACAAATGCATTTCCTGAAGAAAATGTATGTGGATGCTGATTGCCCTGAAAATGCTGAAATTGTTGAAATCCATTACTGAAATAGCTGAAGGCTGAGATGCGATGCTGAATAATTACTGAAGATGAAATGAAAAACTGAAGTTGGGAATTGAACCTCATTATCTGAAGAAGGTGAGAGCTTGCGAGCATTCCTAAAACAGTGGAAGGCTTAATCTCAAAGTGAGAGGTAGAAATTAAATGGCTTAAAGTTCTAAAGAATAAATCATTTTTACTGACATCTGACAGATATATTTTGCAGGCAGACCAACCTCTGTGTGTGTTACTATGGGGCACTATTGCTTTGACTGTGTATTTTTTGGTGTTTTCTATTTTGTGTGTGTGTGTGTGTGTGTGTGTGTGTTACTCTGTTGCTGTCTGTGTGTGTCTTACTGTGTGACTGTGCGGTACCATGTTAATTTTAATGTTTCTGTTTTAAGCAATTAAAAGGTGAGCCTCACCCCCTTTCCATTGTGCCTATACAGCAGGTGGATACCCCGGTGGTTAACACCACTGCCGTTGGTACGACAGTTCAGGGTTCTGTTCCCCGTCAGTGCATGATGAATCATTTTGTGAGTGTGATTTAGATCCCCGTGCAATCTCAGTCTCATGTGACTATGGAATGAATGTCTTCCTGCATAGCAACCAATATATTCTAGCCTATTACAAGATCCTGATTTCCAGATCTCGTAATTATGACTAAATGTGTGCCTATCGAACGGGTAGCATACCTTGGTGGTTAACACCACTGACTATGGTACAGTGGGACTGGGGTTCAGTTCTCCCTCCTTGGGTAAGACCTTTAATGCTAACTACCTAGTGAGGTACAACACTAATGCTACGGCAAGGGGGAGCCAGGGTCATTATTCAATTGAAGATCAGAAAATTCACAAAAACTTTTTCTAGGCTGTAAACGGCTGATAAGGACAGGCCGTGGCTTAGTGGGGTGACTCCTGAAATGAACACGGAGCCACATTGGAGAAAGGCATAGATGAAGACAGCAGTAAGGTGAGACCTGTAAGGTGAGGTGAAAGCTCATTCAGGTTAGGTTACTCAGGGTAAGTCTACCTATACTTTTTACTCTATGTGCAATATGCCTATATATTATATACAGTGCCTTGCGAAAGTATTCGGCCCCCTTGAACTTTGCGACCTTTTGCCACATTTCAGGCTTCAAACATAAAGATATAAAACTGTAATTTTTTGTGAAGAATCAACAACAAGTGGGACACAATCATGAAGTGGAACGAAATTTATTGGATATTTCAAACTTTTTTAACAAATAAAAAACTGAATAATTGGGCGTGCAAAATTATTCAGCCCCTTTACTTTCAGTGCAGCAAACTCTCTCCAGAAGTTCAGTGAGGATCTCTGAATGATCCAATGTTGACCTAAATGACTAATGATGATAAATAGAATCCACCTGTGTGTAATCAAGTCTCCGTATAAATGCACCTGCACTGTGATAGTCTCAGAGGTCTGTTTAAAGCGCAGAGAGCATCATGAAGAACAAGGAACACACCAGGCAGGTCCGAGATACTGTTGTGGAGAAGTTTAAAGCCGGATTTGGATACAAAAAGATTTCCCAAGCTTTAAACATCCCAAGGAGCACTGTGCAAGCGATAATATTGAAATGGAAGGAGTATCAGACCACTGCAAATCTACCAAGACCTGGCCGTCCCTCTAAACTTTCAGCTCATACAAGGAGAAGACTGATCAGAGATGCAGCCAAGAGGCCCATGATCACTCTGGATGAACTGCAGAGATCTACAGCTGAGGTGGGAGACTCTGTCCATAGGACAACAATCAGTCGTATACTGCACAAATCTGGCCTTTATGGAAGAGTGGCAAGAAGAAAGCCATTTCTTAAAGATATCCATAAAAAGTGTCGTTTAAAGTTTGCCACAAGCCACCTGGGAGACGCACCAAACATGTGGAAGAAGGTGCTCTGGTCAGATGAAACCAAAATCGAACTTTTTGGCAACAATGCAAAATGTTATGTTTGGCGTAAAAGCAACACAGCTCATCACCTTGAACACACCATCCCCACTGTCAAACATGGTGGTGGCAGCATCCTGGTTTGGGCCTGCTTTTCTTCAGCAGGGACAGGGAAGATGGTTAAAATTGATGGGAAGATGGATGGAGCCAAATACAGGACCATTCTGGAAGGAAACCTGATGGTGTCTGCAAAAGACCTGAGACTGGGACGGAGATTTGTCTTCCAACAAGACAATGATCCAAAACATAAAGCAAAATCTACATTGGAATGGTTCACAAATAAACATATCCAGGTGTTAGAATGGCCAAGTCAAAGTCCAGACCTGAATCCAATCGAGAATCTGTGGGAAGAACTGAAAACTGCTGTTCACAAACGCTCTCTATCCAACCTCACTGAGCTCGAGCTGTTTTGCAAGGCGGAATGGGCAAAAATTTCAGTCTCTTGATGTGCAAAACTGATAGAGACATACCCCAAGTGACTTACAGCTGTAATCGCAGCAAAAGGTGGCGCTACAAAGTATTAACTTAAGGGGGCTGAATAATTTTGCACGGCCAATTTTTCAGTTTTTTATTTGTTAAAAACGTTTGAAATATCCAATAAATTTCGTTCCACTTCATGATTGTGTCCCACTTGTTGTTGATTCTTCACAAAAAATTACAGTTTTATATCTTTATGTTTGAAGCCTGAAATGTGGCAAAAGGTCGCAAAGTTCAAGGGGGCCGAATACTTTCGCAAGGCACTGTATATATTTATGTGCTGCCAGTATATCTATGTGCTGCCAGCTTGCTAGTTTCAGGATTCACACAAGTAAAAAAGCCAGTCAGAGTAATTAAATCAAAACATCATGACTCTGTGGCTAAGTGAAGCCTGAAATGTGGAGCCTCCTGAAACCAGTATGGTGGCAACACAGAGAAAGGTGACAAAGAAGGCAGAGTTCTCTAAAATGGAGTTCTCTATATGTGTTCATCTTATACTTGTTTAGCGTATTTCTGTGCTTTATGCTGGCTTTCACACTACTTGGCCATTCACCTATTCGCACTCTCAAGCTCTCGCACATTGACTGGACAAACCGGGGATCCTCCTGAGCCGCCCCCATGACACCAGTAATTACAGGTACCTTTCTCCATGTTGCCACCATGCTAGTTTCACTTAGCCACAAAGTCATGATGTTTTGATTAATTACTCTGACTGGCTTTTTTACTCGTATAAGTTTTATTGTACATAGAGTAAAAAGCATGGGTGGGTAAACTTTCACCTCACCTTTCACCCCCCAAAATATTGCTGCAAATAAGATCTGAAACACTGACACAGTGATATTCATATATCTTTCTCCCAGAGCCTCCAGTCCTACTGGGAGTGCTAGTGTTAGGGCCCTTCATGTACGCCAGAGGCCCTCAGCTGCAGCACTGGATGGACATGTTCACCGTCTGTCCTTCCTTAAATGCTATTGGCTTGCAGCCTTATGTACTCCACCCACTGACAGGCTGGAGAGACTATGTCTCCTGGCTGGCCTGGGAACGCCTTGGGGTTCTTCCTGAGGAGCTAGAGGAGGTGTGTGGGGAGAGGGAAGTCTGGGAGGCTCTGCTCGGACTACTGCCCCGCGACCTGGTTTTGGATAAAGCAGACGAAGATGGATGGATGGATGGATGGACTTAAGTTTTAATATTACTTGAATGATTTCACGAATTGCCCTTGTAAGTATAAATGTTACACAATTTATTCATATGATTATTAATTTCAATGTTTTTATTTATTATGGAACACTCTGGGTTTCCATAAAAGGCATTAAATATGAACTGTTCTCACTTGTCAACCAACACCAAGTGTTTAGGTATTTCCATACTAATACAATCCCTCGCTATGAGCTACCCATAATGGCTATAAGTAAACAGCTACAGTAGTTTTCCTTTCAGCAAACAGCAAATGTACCACTGAACATTTTCGCAATATAAAATCTTTCTCCAGCAGCCAGACAATGTCAAACTTTGGTTTATTTTGAGTTTACTTTCATCATTCTCCAGTCTCTTTGAAGTGCAGTACAGTCAGTGAACCTCTCTCTCGCTGCCCACTCTATCACTGGATATACTGTAGTCCCTAGGGGGGGTTGCAGTATATTGAGTGTTATGCTTGAAAAGAAAGAAGCATAACTCAATCTTGGCACTGTTGATCTTTTAGAGATGCGCCGCAACAACAAATAAAACACACTGGATTAGAACAGGAAAGGCCGAAGGTGGAAGAAAGCTGAAGTGTTGGTAAGAGCTGACGGTTATTGCAGTCACACAGACTGAACTCCAACCTGCCGTACCAAAGTCAGTGGTGTTACCACAGAGCTATTGTGCCGACTCAGCATCCACACTATTAGAATTGCAAATTGAATGTCATCTTAAATAAGCTCAATATAAACCAGCGAGCTTCCCATCAGCCTGAGTCAATTTTAACTTGCTAACACTGACTGCAAATGTGTGTATGAAAAATAGTTAGCAAGTGAGCAGAGTAGTTGAACTTGCTAGCTAAAAGTAATGGATAAAAACTCCAAAAAGCTGATAGCAATAGATAAAAAGGCGACAATTCGGATTAAGGGATGGAAAAACTGAAATAGCTAAAAGTAATTACGAACTGTTGTGACATTGTGCTCGCCCGAAGTAAAACTGATTGGTAACCTATAGAAAAAAAAAAGTAAACGGTTGGAAATAGGTGAAAGGAATTGATAAATTGTTGTATGCTGGTTATGTAAGATAAGATAATCCTTTGTCACTGTAACAGAAAACTATTGAGTGAAGTATATGAAAGCACTTTAACAGTATCCACTTCTAATTAAGTGTTAAACAGCATCTAATCCATTCAGAACATAAAGGGTGCTGATGTTTACCTGACAAGGCTGTGGAGGTATGTTAGACAAAAAGGCTGACCACTGCTGTATGCTGTGAATCCAGTTGTAATACACCTTAAATGAAATCACACTTCTGTTTAAAGTAGGAAAAAATGCTCTTTATTGTCCAGTGCCAGACACAAAACCATAGCTATGTGCAGGATACAGAAAAGATTAGTCTGACTAAGGCACATATGGATAGAAACTCAAAAAAGTCTACATAAAAAGATCAGATATGTACAACCACAGCTTTGACTGTCCAGTGTCAGACAAGGGCTTCACTTCTGTAGTTCATGTATTACTGTCTGCAGTGCAGATTCACTAGTAATAATGGAAGAGGACATATGAACAGTGATCAAATGGAACAAAGCATTTACTGTTAGCAGAAACATCATGCAAAATGAGTTTCCACGTAACAATAGACAAAATTTGCAGCATTAAACAATGTAGGTTTATGAACATGTTTGAATGTACAGCATGTAGCTATCACTGAATCTTAATATTTGACTACTGCATGAGCAGCCATCTCAGGATCTTATTGTGCTGTGTCACACTAGGAATGTGGAGAAAGGAGCAACACTGGGTGAATGGAAAGTCAGGAAAACCAAAACAAGATCAGGGTGAGAGAATATAAAAGGAAATATAAGACTAAGCCTTTGATCCACTCAGAGCTGAAATAAAATTGTAGATTTCAAATGAATGAGAAAACGTATGTTACGGATCTGATATTTGCTGGTACATGCTCAAAACAGAAACAGGGAGCAGACAGGGTTTGTTACAAGATCTTAAAACTTGCCAGACTTAATACCATCCTCTACATGTTTAAGTTAGTTACTTCAAAATATTTCAGGATTCTTGCAGCACCATTTGTGGTTCTCATAATATTGTCCAGACCTCACTTTTCCACTCAAGTCTATCTGCTGATAAGCCTTCATTCACAACCCTACTCCTGTTTATAGCACTGGACATGAAAAAGCTCCTTCAAAGTTTCTTTGTCTGTACCAACAGCTTGTTCACACATATGGATTCGAAAAGCAGGAGCAGCGATGGTTTCCCTTCAACATTAATGAGACCTGGCTTTGTGGCCCTGCATCCCCTGCTGGGCTTCACACATTCAAGAAGCGCCCAGCTACACTTACAGGGGAAAGCTGAGAATATCTTGATACAGCGTGAGTGGCAGTCAGGTTAAGAGCCAATTGTGATCATTCTGATTCCAGTGGAAACTGAAGCACAAAGTTCGTCAATACACCAACTTCACTATGTGAAGGGATTTTAATCAAAATGGGAGAAACGTTCACCCATGCTGTCTCCAACTTCCTGGTCCTATGACATGTCTTCAATGAGTTACTGGAATAAAACAAACAAACAAACGTAGAAACAGTTCACTGCCAGCAGATATGTCATAGAAAAAAATAACACTCCAGTCAGAACGGAGCATATAAATTACATGCTCGACACACCACCAGAACTGCAGACTGATGGGAGGCCAGATTCTGCCAACTACTTTGCATCCTTATGTATGAACACACCGTACACAAGTTCCTGGTTGTCCTCCCTCTCCAGTGCTTTCTGTCCCCACTTGTGAATAAGCACAGCCGCAGTTCATAGACCGTTAGCACACACTCATCTCATCCACCCACCACGGTTCAAGGGCATGCCAGGTGGAGGGGGCAGGGGCACCTGTGACTGTGCTGGGGGCACAGGGGGTGGAGGAGGGTAGCCAGCAGGTGGAAGACCTATCCCTGGAGGAGGTACGTGGCCTGGTGGCATGCGTGGAGGCGGTGGTGGAGGGTAGCTGTTGTAACCTGGAGGTGGATAGGTGGGCGGTGGGTAGTTGGAAGGAGGAGGTGGAGGGCCTGGAGGTGGTGCTGCAGGCGGTGGATAGACATGGGGGTGATATGGTGGCATTGGCGGTGCGTAGTTAGGTGGCATGGGGGCATAAGAAGGGCCCTCTGTCTTCATCATGGATTGTAGACTCTGGTAGCCTTCCCCAGACATGTAGGAGCTGGTGGTGGACATGATGTAGTTGGATGGTGGAGGTGGAGGAGGGCGATGGGGTAGAGGAGGGGGCTGGTGGGGAGGTGGAGCATTTGGGGGTGGGGGAGCAGTTTCACTTCCTGGTTCTGCTTCCATGGGAGGGGCTGGGGCTGGAACTGGAGCTTTACGGTCTAGAGACAGACAAACAGCAAAGAGAAACAACTGGTTACAAATCAGCCATCATCTTCCACAAAGCTACTGATTCCAGCATGAACTCAAATATCCTTTCTATTCCCAGATAGCTAGACCAAGACTGCCTGGCTTCAGCCACATAGGAGGTCTCATTATCCTACTCAAGCACTGTTGAGCCTGGTAATGATCAAGCATGTGATAGGAAAAAATTATATCCAGACGAGATGCTGGTTATGCAAGTACACTGCAAGGACTTAAAGACACCGGGTTGGTTTCTATACCTGAGTCCTGGCTGCTCATTATGCACCTATGTGGTAGTGCACACAGGCCAAATGCATGCTGTGTGGCCCAGATAGTCTTGACCATGTGTCCAAAGGGGGAATATTAGGCATCATAACACAGCACTGGTTCACAAAAGGGTTCTCTACCTATGCTCAGAAATATTGTCAGTCATGTATGATTTGTGCAACTAACAATCCAGGTAAAACAACACCACTCACACAACAAGCAGCACAACCTACAGTATTGCTCACAATAATAGCAGTACAATGTGACTAACCAGAATAATCCAGGTTTTTAGTATATTTTTTATTGCTACATGGCAAACAAGTTACCAGTAGGTGCAGTAGATTCTCAGAAAGCAAACAAGACCCAGCATTCATGATATGCACGCTCTTAAGGCTGTGCAATTGGGCAATTAGTTGAAAGGGGTGTGTTAAAAAAATAGCAGTGTGGCATTCAATCAGTGAGGTCATCAATTTTGTGAAATAACAGGTGTGAATCAGGTGGCCCCTATTTAAGGATGAAGCCAGCACTTGTTGAACATGCATTTGAAAGCCTGAGGAAAATGGGTCGTTCAAGACATTGTTCAGAAGAACAGCGTACTTTGATTAAAAAGTTGATTGGAGAGGGGAAAACCTATAAAGAGGTGCAAAAAATTATAGGCTGTTCAGCTAAAATGATCTCCAATGCCTTAAAATGGAGAGCAAAACCAGAGAGACGTGGAAGAAAACGGAAGACAACCATCAAAATGGATCGAAGAATAACCAGAATGGCAAAGGCCCAGCCAATGATCAGCTCCAGGATGATCAAAGACAGTCTGGAGTTACCTGTAAGTACTGTGACAGTTAGAAGACGTCTGTGTGAAGCTAATCTATTTTCAAGAATCCCCCGCAAAGTCCCTCTGTTAAAAAAAAGGCACGTGCAGAAGAGGTTACAATTTGCCAAAGAACACATCAACTGGCCTAAAGAGAAATGGAGGAACATTTTGTGGACTGATGAGAGTAAAATTGTTCTTTTTGGGTCCAAGGGCCACAGACAGTTTGTGAGACGACCCCCAAACTCTGAATTCAAGCCACAGTACACAGTGAAGACAGTGAAGCATGGTGGTGCAAGCATCATGATATGGGCATGTTTCTCCTACTATGGTGTTGGGCCTATTTATCGCATACCAGGGATCATGGATCAGTTTGCATATGTCAAAATACTTGAAGAGGTCATGTTGCCTTATGCTGAAGAGGACATGCCCTTGAAATGGTTGTTTCAACAAGACAATGACCCCAAACACACTAGTAAACGAGCAAAGTCTTGGTTCCAAACCAACAAAATTAATGTTATGGAGTGGCCAGCCCAATCCCCGGACCTTAATCCAATCGAGAACTTGTGGGGTGATATCAAAAATGCTGTTTCTGAAGCAAAACCAAGAAATGTAAATGAATTGTGGAATGTTGTTAAAGAATCATGGAGTGGAATAACAGCTGAAAGGTGCCACAAGTTGGTTGACTCCATGCCACACAGATGTGAAGCAGTTATAACAAACTGTGGTCATACAACTAAATATTAGTTTAGTGATTCACAGGATTGCTAAATCCTAGAAACAAAAACGTTTGTACAACATAGTTTTGTGTTTGTACAGTCAACGGCAGACACTGCTATTTTTTTGAACACACCCCTTTCAACTAATTGCCCAATTGCACAGCCTTAAGAGCGTGCATATCATGAATGCTGGGTCTTGTTTGCTTTCTGAGAATCTACTGCACCTACTGGTAACTTGTTTGCCATGTAGCAATAAAAAATATACTAAAAACCTGGATTATTCTGGTTAGTCACATTGTACTGCTATTATTTTGAACAATACTGTATGCTTTACCCCAACTCTAAAACCAGAAGACAGGACACAACAAACAAACATTACCTGGGGGAGGCTGTGATGTAGGCAGAGGGGGCATGGGGCTCTCCAGTCGCGGAATCTTTAGTCCAACTTGTTCTGTAAATTTAACAAACCAGTCAAAAAATGGAAAAGCTTTTTTTAAGGAACTTTGCTTCAAAATCCTAGTCATCTTTTCATAATTGATGGTAATTAGCTAACTTCTCTTGGAGGTACTTCGTATGAGATTTGAAGTGCTTTAAAACCCAAATGAGCAGAATTTAGCCTGAGGTTTATGTCAAATCTTACCTGGAGCCTTTGGTTCATCTTTTGGTGATGCCTGAAATATAGAAACAGGAATGCAAATGTTCAGTTCCCACTCAGATTATGTTGAGCACCACAATCACATACACAAGCTGCAGGATCTAATGGACATTTTAAATAAACAAATAGAGAAATGTAATCTAAGAGAGCAAGGGACTTTGTACCAGTCATAGCATTAAAGCAATCAACAATGCAATTCAAGCCTGTACTCACATGTGAGCGCTTGAGCTGGCGTGCGGGGCTGCCACCCTGAGGGGAAGTCTTCTTTGGTGGAGGAGGAGGAGGGTTGGCGGCTGGAGGTTGTCCCTGTGGAATCGGAGGAGCAGGGGTCAGAGGAGCAGGTGCCCGCTCCTTCTCTTGCATTTGCTGAGGGATGGGCTTGTTTCCCTGGGAGTACAGGTCCAATATCTGGTGGCAAATGTCTGGAAGACAAAGACAGATTTTTGTTGAGACCAGCCTGAAAAGTTATGGACAATGATTAGACAAATGTGGTGGCAAAGGCATGAAGTGTGATGGCTTTATGTCGAGTACCTTCAAGCAGCTCAACTGGGACATCCTGGACAAACTGCTCCCACCAGCGACGTGATGACTGCTTGGTAGTCCACTCCTGGATGTCAAACTTACAGAGGCGGCCGGCCAAGTACATGACAGCCACGGCTATGATCTCTGGCTCCCACTGCAGAGACAGCATTGTGCACAAGCTGGAAGGGACATGAGCAATATGGTTGGAGTCAGAGCTGAAGATTTGGAACCTTAAAAGATATTACCTGGTGGGTGGGGGCTGAGTTGCATAAACACTTCTCATACTGTAAGGCCTCTTTCACAAATAGCCCTGCACATTATTTAGTTATAAATATTAAATAATTCAAATGCACTTCAGAACTGTTTACATGCCAGCCGCTCACCTGTCATTGACAAAGGTCCAAGCCATTTGTAGCACCTTGCACACTTTATTCTTCTCTCCTATAACAATAAGAAAAAAACATATGCTATGTATGCTTAACTGGTTCCCAGCACCACAATATATCAGATCTCTTGATGCGATGTCACACTCACTCTCACCTTTGAGCTGCTTGACATAGCGCAGCAGGAACATGTAGGGATGCTCCACCTGCAGGTCAAATTTGATAGTCTGGAGCAAGATTCTCTCCAACACCATCACCTCTTCCTGTTGAAACAAAACCCAGGAAGGATGATTTAAGGTTTACTCACCACCTATAAAGTCTGTTTTCCAAAGGCTCGGGACTCTGGTCCATTCTGGCCTTCTGATCATAAACTATGGTATATGATCAAGACTGTAGCAATGTCACTAATGTTATACCTGTTAAGATTTTAAGGGAAAATATGTCTATATAATATACTTTCAGCCATAATGACTCCTCTCTACTCCAACCTGGGAAAAACAGCAGGCTAAAATGGAGAAAAACTGTTTTTCACAGCTGAACCAAGATTTTTTCAAACTCAGTCTTGATCAAAACTAATCAAATTGCAAATTATTAGTTGGTTTGAACATACAGTATAACTTGCACAGACTTAAATAAGAACTTACTGTGCAGTTCAATTTCATACCAAATATCCATTTCCAGTTTGGTGGGGAAAAAAAAAAAAAAAAAAAAATCAGTCTTTTGTTCTTTTTACCCAGAATTTTGTGCTGATTAAAACCTTCATGAGCTTACTTACAGGGAGATCTGCCTATGTCACAGGCTGTACCTAATGGAACGACTCACTCTTAGATTTAAAAAACAAAAAAACAACAAAAAAAACAAACAAATCACACTGAAAGCAGTCAGTCATAAGGCAAAATCCTGCAACAAAAGATTACTACTGTATGGCTGCTTGTTACAGAAGATTAACAGCAATTAGGCTGTAGCATGTTTGCTTCTGTTTGTTCTTTCTAGAGTTACAGGATATTAAGTCAGAGCATTGGCAATACTGTTTTACAATGGACTTTAAGTTAAGACGACTATTTTCTTTTCTGAACTCGGTGAAGAAATTCCCTGACTGAGATCGTAAGGCACAATTATATTATAACATCCAGTGTTGTCTAACGAGAAAAGGGTGAAGTAAAAACAAACTGCACCTTCGGGTCATCTCCAAACTGGGCAAACTGCACATCATTCAATAAGCTGCGGGCTGTTTTGATGATGTCTTTACACTTCTTTGGGGTTTCCTCCACTTTCCCAGCCAGAAAAAGACAGCATGCACCTGTCACCTGTTGAGAAACAGGTTGCAACATTTCAATCCAACACATTTGGGACTCTTTATGAAAAAATGAACAAAGTTAACAATCCACTGAACTTACATATCGGGGAAACTGCTTGAAGGAGTGAAACATGTAGAAGCGGTGGAAATATATAATGCCAGTTGCTAGTGTGTCATAATGTCTGATGACAGTCAAGGATATTACAGAAACCATTTAGTTATTTGCACATCTGTCATGTTTTTCAGTTATTATCAGCTACTGTATGTCAAATAAACTAACAAGGAAATTTCTCTTTGACTGGACATCTGTGGTCAATACATACAATAACTCTGTGTTGTCTCCTGTAAACAATTCACATGCAGGTCTTTACAAGAAACTCAACAATTCTCCTACAAAAGGTACAGTAAAAGTAGAAGAAGCCTGTGCTCATTGGGACACAGCACTCTAGCTGTATAAATTCTTTAGTTTTCATCAGGGACAAACAGAGCCAAATGGATCATGGATACAGGCCAAGTCGGGTCCCCACATCAAATATGAAGCGGGCTCCCTCCCGCCGATACCGGGCCTCTGTGCCAGGGTCCAGACCCTCAGACTGAGATGGGGTGTGGGCTAAATCCTTCTTGTCCCAGTACCAGCATGGCTTGATGTGGTCCAGAGCTGCTTGGCCAGTCACTGACAGGTTCTCCTTGGACTCCTTCATTGGCTGAGGAGACGCAATAGCAGATGGACCCGCTGCACTGGACTGCTAAGAAGGCGGAAAGGGTAGAGTTATGTGCAATCTTTCTCACCAGCAACTAGGGTTATAGAGCATAACTAACTTCCTCAGCATACTAAAAGTGTTGGAAAACTCCCTATACAACACCAATGTCCAACCAGCAGATTATTAGGGGTGTTATAGCTACTCTGGCTGTCAGAATCTTCTTACACAATATAAATGTGGAATATAAATGTGGGTATATTCATACTTTAACAACTCTACAACCTGAGTTGCAAAGTTGCTACTTTTACTTAAGAATTTAATGTTAAGCACTCTAGCCATTTTCATACATAGCAACAATATGTGCAGGATGAAGCCATTTCTTCTAGCCCACACTGTGAGAAATACAGAACGAGGAGAGATTAAGGGCTGTACCTGACTAAGGATTTTGTCAGTCAACTGTCAGTCAGCTCTTCAATGCGACAATTCAACTATTTGTTGTTTTTCTTTATTTTTTTAACATATATACATACACATACATATATCCTGGACTGTCAGAAAATCAATTGGTATGAATTTTATTGATGATTTCGACCACACTAACATTAGTATTTAAATACAAGAGTGAAAGAAACATATTTGAGCCTTAAAAAAAAAAAAAAAACTATAAAAGACATCTGATGCAACAGTTAAACTGGGACCTATTTAAACTGACGATGTTAATCTGCCATATGGATTTGTCAGAACAAGGAGGCAAGAAGCACACTTGTATTTCTGTTGAAACAATGCTCTTATAGGCTATGCTTTCTTCTGAGATGTTGTTATAGCCTAGTTTACCAACAAGTTTGAGCACCTCCCGTCAGTTAACCACACTGCACGTTGTTTGTGTGTTTTACTGTGTGAGCTTGCACTGCCCAATGATTCCTCTTATTTACAATTCCTCACTGAAATGTTGAATGATTTCACGAACTGCCCTTGTAAGTATAAGGGCAATTCGCCGCTCATTTTTGTTAGCTACCTAGTCCTGTCCGTATGAATGCATGTTGCAAAAACAATGCAAAAAAAAAAAAAAAAGATAAAAATGTGCAACAGCACCCATTGTCACAAAATCTGATGGGTCACAGATTTGGGTGCAACACCGGACTAACATTAGGCTATGCAAAATCAGCAACAACGACCGTTAAAGTATTTTCTCATCAACGTAGACCGCGATGTTTCAAAACACTTCTAATAAATTATAAATCCCACCTTTATGTGGCTTGTTCAAGTGGGTTTTGTTGTCTTTTTCTCCTCACTCTGCAATTTGTTAAATAGATCCGACCTTAATGTACATCCAACATACCATTAACACCTGCAGAGCCATCAGCATTGCTGATGACACCTTCCACCCCGCATACTCCCACTTCAGACTCCTGCCTTCAGGGAGAAGGTATCGGAGTCTTCAGGCCCATGCCACCAGACTTAATCAGCTTCATTCACCAGGCTGTGAAGATGCTGAATGCTGTCTATTACCTCCCACCCTCTGGCCCCGGCCCCTGCTCCTGGACTGTGACCCACCACAGAACATAAAAAGACTACCTCTGCTGTTTTGGGTCTTATTATAGTATATGTAAATCTGCTGCTGACCGTTTTTACCGTCATATCTGCTGCTGTTGATCATTTGCACTACTGTCCGTGTGCATCTCAATCTCAACCATCTGGCAATGTTCTTACTATTATTTGCACTACTGTCACTGATTGTACATGGTCTGAGTCATAGCCTATTAGGCTGTATTATTTAGTTTTTATCCTAATCACTGTGACTTAGTTTTCTTATTCTTTTTAGTCTATTTTTACTCTACTTTTATTGTGTTAGTTTCCTAAATGGTATGGCATTCAATACTAGGTGAGAGAGAAACGATATTTCTATTTTCTGTATGTCCTGCACATATAGTGAACTGACAACAAAAATCTTTGATCTCCTGATACAGCGTCACCCTTGAAGTGCGTATTCCCCCGACCACTGGGGGAAGTACTGAGCAAATTGCTGCTTGGCACACCAAAATGAGAAGAGGACGACAAACTACCCAGCTAGTGCTGCCTTCTATTGTAATGCATACTGGCTGAAAATACATTGTATACATATAATAAAATAAAAACAAATGTTCGACTATAAGAGTATCAGTCATCTGATAGGTTCCTCGACTATTAGCAGGCAGCTCTAGAGGGATCGCAAAGAAGCATTGTCCTCATGAATAGTTTTTGTAGATGTTACTAAGCTTAATGTTTAGTTTGAATCCAACAAACAGGAAAGCAACACGAGGGAATCATTGTTCTGATAGGAACGTGTTTGGGCATAGCAGCTCCTCACCCGTTCACTGATAAACTGCGGCTAACATTAAGCTTGTAGTTATGCATAAAACGTTAGCTAAGCAATTATACGACATAATAAACTCATAAGGATGTCAATGGAAATGAAGACACTTTACTCGGAATTAGCATTATGAACTGTTAGCTCATTGCTAACAATCACTTATCTGTGCTAACGATAACTTAAAGTGAAGCTAACTTAGCTTCGTTGACCTAAATAACCAGCTATGCAAGGACATTAGACGAAAATGTATGAACCAAAATGTATGCGAGTAATGTCGCTTAAATATACAGCAGGTTAAAAATTATTTCGAACCAAAGGCAGTCAAAGTTGGCACTTTGTCTTCGCACACCGCGGGTAGCTAATCCCAGCTAACATTAGAAAACTTGCTCCCGGAACACCGCAACCTGTCAAAAGTACTGAGAATTCATCCCAGTTATCGTCGACCTTCTTCTAAATGAAATACGGCCCTTACCTTTAACATGTAGCCGTCGAAGCAAATAACACACAACAGACAGCTGTAAGAATAATCCGCAATTATTCACAATAAGTCGGCTAAATGATCAACTACAGTCCCCATTATGAAAAGGGCACCGCCATTATGAAGTAGTTACGTCAGAAAACGTTGGCAGACGTCATTACGCAAGATAGACGGTACACGTGCGCTCTGGTTATGGTTAGACTTTTGTTTGACACGTCCTTTTCCAAATCAATTTGTTCTCTACTTCAGTTTTATTTCTAGCTACTCTAAAACCCCAAACAAGATATACGCGTATGATAAGTATGATCAAGATGATGCTATTTTAATAATTATTATGTCCACTAGAGGGAGACAAAGAATTAATTGTGAACTTGGACAGCCAGACCTGGACTTTTGACACATGCAATCTGATTTCACCAGGTGATTCACTAGAAAAATCTGTACTGGATCTATGAAAAGAATTCACCTGAGCAAGGTTTCAAAAGGCAAATAAAAAACACAAACAAACAAACAACATTTACACAGAACAGATACTTTATAATACTAGTTTAAATGGTCACTTCATCCTGGATTTTGTATCATAGACTCTTCAAAAAGACAGTGTGGGTATGAGCTCTGGCTGTAGGGCCGTGTTGCACCCACATCATTTAAGCACATAGTCCTACGCATATATATTTATTGCCCTAAAATAATATTTATTTATTTATTATCAACATCCACTTCTGGTATTCAAGGTATCAAAAACACAAGTAAGAGTGATTGAAGCGAGAGATGGACATATTAAAATACTAGTCAAACAATTTTTCGGTATTTTTCTGTACATAGAAAGCATATACTCTTTGTCTTTGGTTAAAGAATATAAACCAATTTTAATTTGGAAATATAATAATAATGTGACAAATGAAATCAGGCTTTTTTACTAATTTTTGAACATCACAGTGCATGATGCTGGAAATATAAGTAAGAGGAGGACAGAAATAATGCCTCAGGTTTTTGTCTATTATCTTAAAATGTACATTTTCATGGGTGAAATTAAAGACATCTGATTCATTTGACTGTTGTTAGAGTTTAACCTAAAATGAATCCTGGCCAATCGTGTCTTGTTTTATGAGTTACAAGTGATGAGTTAAAATCAGTTGTGACCATGACTTGAGCTTTTATGTTAAGTGAAAATCATTATTTAAAAACATGTAGACTCTGAAATGCATAAATCTACTGGAGTAGCAGTCTTTGCAGAACAACATTATATAAACATGGTTTTAATAATGTCAATTAAGAAAAATATTATCAGTTAAGATATTTTTATACCTTTGAATTAATATGACCTAAAATTGTTTTAAATATTGCAGAGTATGAGTAGACTACAAGACACGTCCTGTGCCCTGTGCACGCCCCTTCCAGCCTCTCTTCAAGACCAGCATTGAAACATTTACTACAGTATGTCCAAATTTAAATTTGGAATCTGCATGTATTATATATTCTTCCATGCTCTGACAATTACCTAACTCTGTCACAATGTGTCCTGTAGAAAAGTAAGAGCCTTAGTTGCATTGCCTATTCCAAGGGAGCATCTCAATCTCTCACTCAAGTCCACACACACATTAACCACAGTAAATCATCTTATGAATAATATATACTAGTACTTTCTTTATTAATATTAAACATTGCATAATGAAGCACAGACTATAAGCAAAATCCCAGAGCAATATTCGTATAACCATGAGCTGTCCTAGAGTGGACGTTTCATTGTTTATGTCAGTCCTGTCATGATGTGGTTAAACACATCAAAATGGCTTCTTTGACCTGTTTAAACCTCAAGAACACCTTTTTTTGTTCTTAAAACCTGCAGTATGTGCACTTTTCTTTCATATATGTTGGTCTGTCTGAAGATATTGATGTAATTTTTGTAAACAAATGGTAGAGACATGAAAAATGGAATATAGTCAGATGTTTAAAAGGTCAGCTTAAACTTTGTCCTTGGGCTCATTTTTATGTTTTACCATAAATTATACATGCTTGGAATCTCTTTAAAGCTTGTGTCATTTTTGGAAAAGAGCTCAAATGTCAGCATAATGCTTTTTGTTATCTGTTGTGTAGGCAATGCCCTGCAGTGTGTTCAGGTATCTCCCATTCAGTGATGCCAATTACCACGCGAGATGCATGTTCCCCTTTGTGGCATCGCTTTGGTCTTAAAATCTTTCCTGTGTCCACAAACGGGGTATTTGTTGTATGTTGGCCCTGTGCAACCTAGATCAAGCTGCCTTTGCCCGGAGCCAGCAGATACAAGCTATAATGGAGACATTGATGTATAATTGACAAACCCAAGGGTAAGGATTAAGGAACTGCTCGCAGCCAGAAGGGATGGCAAGAGAGTGTGTGTGAACTCAGGATAATGTTTCCTTTCAGCATCCAATGTGTCCACGGCTGCTGTTGCTCTCTTGGCCCAATGCGAATAAGAAGCCATTTCATGTAATATCACATACCAAATTTATGCTCTTCAGTCAAAGCAATATGCTTGACAACATGCTCCAGCCTATCTGTGAAAGATAGCTGTTGTGCTGTAGTGTTTCCATGTGGGGTCTGCTGAGGTTATGTCTACTTGAGCCAGAGCTGAGATGACATTTCATTTATATAAATAATTACTGTCCTGAAAGTCCCCTAGGCCTGCCCTGAAGCAATCAAACTTCTAATGCTCTTAAAATTGCCCACCATGTTTTATTAATGGCAGACTATAAAATGTATTGCTATAGCTGCACACTTCATGCTGATCTATGAGGAAATAGTGTCAACTTTAAATGGCTGTATTAGGCTTTTATTTTTATTCAACAGTGTGCTTCAACCAAATCACAGCACAGCATAGTCTGTATTTGTATTGAACGTGAGGTTTAAAAAAGAAACTTGAGTATGTTATCTGAGCTGCAGCCTGTACAATGTACCACTCTGTGCATATACTGATCAAAATGAATATCCTGAATTATGTGCACAGTGATCACCCATTAGTGCCATTAATTGCCTCTGAGTGAACCTGACCTGCTCTTCAAGGACTCTCTTAGATTCTGAATTGCATAATGGCAAATTATGGAGGCCTCATTCTAAAAATAAGAACAAAGTGTAGTAATACTGTGTTAAGGTTTGGAATATCCCCTGACTGTGCCAACAGAGGGTACTGTTGCTTCACAACGTTTTTAAATTATCTCAACAACAGCGACGCAGCATTCTGTTTTCTGCCCTCTGATTTAATGTGAGGAAATAGGTGTGCTTTGTTTTTATACTGATCATGCGCAGTAGCGTTCTTCGGTCATTTACATAGCTTTGAATATACACGTGTTAATGAACTAAATTAAACGTGACCTTTGAACCCAGATTATTTATTTAGTGTGGTTTAGTGGTGGGTGGTCCTAATGTGACAGCCATTATAAAACAACGGCTGATTTGGCTACATTTCAGATGGCATTAGACAAAAGAATAAAAGTTGTAATAATCCGTGAAATGCTTAAAGTATATAGGAAAAGATCACTGTGATGTGGATGTTCAAGATTTTGAGTGGTAAATCAACACTCCTTTAACACGCAGACAGCATGAACATATCATTTAATTAACCATTGATGAGTGGTAATTACTTTGTGAATGGAGCCCATCGCTGGCAGCCGCCGCTAGCTGCCCCCAGTGTCCGCGTGTTGTCCGCCGCCTTGTGTCTGTAGTGTCTGACGCGCAAACGTCACAGACGCACTTGAACTTGAATCCCATTCTACTGAGTGAAGGTAAACCCCAACCACACGCACCCAAACACGCGCACAAAACACAGACTGTATTTAGTCTGCGCGCGCGCACACAATAGCGGGTTCCTCCCAGGCAGAGCCTCTTTCATCGTGTGAGTCAACAAGAAGTAGCCTCGACACTATATGAAACTGGGAAACATTGGACCTGCTTGTTGGACGAGAAGGAGGAGGTGTCTTGTCTGCCCGTCTGCTCTCTCTCTCTCTCTTTCTCTCTCTCTGTATTCTCTCTCTCAGTCAACGAGGCTACTACCACCGGAGCCAAGAGTTGCCGTTCCGCGCACTAATGCCAAAACGCGCAGGAGGAGCCGGTGCCAAAGGGTCATTTTAGCGCACCACTGCTGAAATGGAAGGACTGTAGGGAATCCTAGACTAAACACCAGCCATTTGACCCCAGGTAATATAATCATATCATCAACATTTAGTAAAGGGAAAGCAGCCAAGTAAGATCCAATACCCATCACCGGTGGAGTGCCGCGTACTTCATCTGTCACAACGGTCGCTGCAGAGGTGGGCAGTCCAGGATTTTTGTCTGCAAAAGGTGCATTGCCAAACATCACCTTCCTGCACCCATATCAACTCATCGGCCGCTAGTAGCCAATTGATTTCTAAAATTCTTGGCTTCCTCAACCCAGGTGTTAACTCCCTCAGAAGACACTGCAGGACACAGTGGACAAACTGGTCTTCCATCTTTATTGCGCTCCTGTCCGACTTTCGAACGCATATCAAAGTTGCAGCTGAAGACAGTGAAAGGCAGAGGGATTAGGAGAAGGGAAAGTTGGTCACCTGCGACCCAGAGAGGACCGACACCACGGTTCAAGCCGACTCCAAGTGCCGTTCACCGGGCGATGCCAGAGTAAATGCCGGGGCAATGTCCCGCCGCAAGCAGGTGAACCCGCAGCACTTATCGTTGACACACAGGGAAACAATACAAGGTGAGTTTAATTCCCAGTTCTTCTCGCCTCATAGCCTGTAATTACGTTTAGTGATTAGAATTATTTGTAGTTTATCATTTTTATTATAAGTTGTGATTTTTAGGCCAAAATAAAGGCAATTTTTGGAAACAGGTTGACATCTTGCCCATGTATTGTTTTGCCTTTGAAACTGGCGAATAGGAAAGCTAACGACCTAATAAATTTACCATGTGAAAACACTTGCACAAAGATCAAAAACATATTGTTGTTTCTTTACGCATACTTTTACACTGGATTTGAGTAATTGCGTTGCTTCATAATAGTTGTTTTTACACCTTTAAGATTTATGATCACAATTCAGTGATATTTCAAATGCACCTTTTGCAGCTTCATATGAATTTACTGCGAGAGATGATCTTAGGACAGCTATAGGACTATCTGGAAAAGTGTGTGTGAGTGTGTGTCTGTGTGTTATTGAATGTGCACGCACGTGCGTTGCGCGTGTATGAGCTATTAGCCTAAGTCAGCGTTTCATCAGATACAGTTTAGCGTTTTCCTCAACATATTGCAACATGTTGTAATGTTTAAACTTGTTTTCTTTGTCAAGCCTTTCAGTCAGTGATTTCCAGATGCAGTTATTTATTCAGAAAAAAACGCACAAGGTGATTTGTATAGAAATTTAAATGTATTTTTAATTTAAATGGCCTCCCTCTCGCTTTCTGTCGTCTCTTCCCCCCCCACCCCCCTCTCTCTCCCTGTCTCTCACGCACACACACTTTCACATTCATTCAGTCTTAACTGTTTTTCTTGGTACACGCAGGCCTGTCGCTTACTGTAAGACAACAATATAAAAACATTTCAACAATGTGATGCACGAAAATATGTTAAACTTGCAATCACACACACGCACACACACACACACACGCACGCATCCACATGCGCGCGCGCACACACACACACACGTACAAAAGAAAGATAACATAAAACAAATTAACAACAAACTTTTATTAAGGCCGGTATGTTAAAAAAAACGGTCATAACTTGTTTGAAGCTTTCAGAGTTGCGCCCACAAATTGTGATTACATGTAAATTGCGCAGATTAAATCTGAGGTAGGAATTTATTTGAGCATATGATTTAAAAAAAAATCTCATAATCCAGTTTCCAGTCAGTTATATCAATCTAACCTTCATCTCCCTACGCTCTGCTTTGTCTAAATCCAATTTCATAGAGGCCTAATCTGAGTAATTCATTGCAGAGGTTTATGATGTAATCTTTGGCCAATCTGTTTTGTGTTGAAAAAGGCGCAAATTCTGTCCCACCCGACACATTCAACATTGAGACTAATCATTTATCCCATTCACTTCGCCTCTTTCTCATCTCACTTGACTTTTCTCCATGTCGAGCTTGCTGTTGAAATAATTACGGTAATTTCGAAACCAATGAACAATCTGAAATCTAAATGTTTGCTCTAACCAATGTTTTTGTTTTTTAATTGAGAAAGTATCCTCAGCAGATTTTAAGCAGATGGCAAATATCGATCCAGAGGTATAATGATCCGAGCTTATTCTCTCTGCTGCCACAGCTCTGTCTGCTTTCTGTCAGTTAATTAATGTGGGGGAACTGATCTCCCACAATACATTTTTGACTGTGCAAAATACAGTTTTACCCCAGGCATGTGTGTGTGTGTGTTTATCATTTACCTGGATGGTTTATGACATATAATTGCAACGTTTTGGCATATTTTCATTTGTCTTTAGGGAACTTATACAAATTGGGCCTAACTGTTAAACATTTGCTTCTCTCCTTCCAGCCATGGGTCACTTTGTTTGACATTTTTCCCACATTAGTTACACAAACCCTAAGAGCACCTGCTGTGCAGTCAGCAATTTTTTCAGACTGTGGTGCTAGATACTTGCATAATTAGACAGATAATTAGTTGTCACAGATTAGCTTTAAATTTCTTAATTTCTTTGTCAGAGCTGAAGCTGTGTTCATATGCCTCCAGGATGCATCTGCACTTGCCTTGAAGCTTTTAATGACAGGTGTTGGCTATCCTTTTAATCACCACTGACCTGTTAGTTTGCAAGTGTCAAACAACAACCTAAGTTCAGATATGTGCAAATGCTGGCAAATGTTTAATGATGAGTTCACTTGTCCAGGAGTCTTTGCTATGCTGAAGTGATTATTAGAGCAAGTACAGTGGGATGCTGAAAAGCTGGGTTATCTGCTGGGCCTGAATCTTGTCCTACCTGTTCTTTCACGTGATACACGCTGCTTGTTGAACTGTGGCCTCAATGAACTGAGAAGCACAAATGCAAGATAAAGGAAGAGCTGGATTTGCTAGTCTTATTTTATTTATTTGTAAAGTTAACAAGCAGATCAAAACTAAACTAAAGTGACTTTGTGCAAAAAAAGCATAAGTATTGATATGTGTTCTACCTCTGCATGAACAGTGTGTCTGTGAGCGAATGTGTCCACAGATACATTTTTATTTGTATAAAGCGCCTACACAGTGTTTACCATACGTACAGGATGTCTTAATAATAATACCACATCATTAGCGATGATGGACCGAAGGGTTTTAATGTGCCTATGATTCAATGTCTAGAGGCTTTATATCGCTGTGGGCTGTTTCCTTAAGTTGGGTGGGTCTGGACAGGACCAGGATCATACCTGAGGCTAGAGGATGTGTGAAGTGCTTAGAAAGTCAAACTGTTATTTGATTGAATCAACATATAATGGGAGACACTGTTGTCAGAGAATATTTCAGAAATTGCTTGATAACATGAGGGGGACTTTACTGTTCATTGTTGATATTTTTAATTTTACCCAATCAATACATCAGCTTGGTGCCGCAGTTATGGTATCGGTTATTAAGACCAGTCACAAGGTATCTCCTTACACAAGTAATAATATGAAGCTGCAGCAGGGTGTCAGCCATATATCATCTAGATGTCACGTCAGAGGCTATTTAGTGTAACTGAACACAACCATGTGCCCTGCAGCCATAGGCCTATAGGTCATGCTTTACTTGGGAGTGCAAAGAACCTGAATATCAGCATATTTCTGGACAGGCAGTTAGTGGAAGACTATGTAGTGGAAATCTACTTGCCAGGCCAGATATCAAGAGGGACACATGAATGTACTGTGTACATGTATGCACCAAGGCAAGCAGACACACGTACACTCATCATATATACTGTAAAAGTGCACAAACATAACTCTACAGAAAGCTTGACCATGTATGCAAACTGTATACGTTTACACTCCAACAAATCATGTGTAACAAGTTATTCTGTTTAAGGTCAGTCTGGCCTTCAGTTTATAGCTCATCTTTTGTTTTGTCAGGAGTCTTGCAAACATCACTTCTAAGCTTTCTGAGCATTGTTCAGTCAGTGATTCAGAGATCTGTCATCAGAATATCCTTATGTATCACTCAAACATTAATGAGGAACAACTGGGTTTCTGCATCAAAGACCTTCACTGTTCAGAGACTGGCATTTTATATACATATATCTTTATATCCAATATCAGCATCGTTATAGGGGTTTGTTTTGTGTATCCAGCTATGGAAATGTTTTGAGATAACAGTTTACTCTCTGCACTGGCATGCTATTTGTGAAACAGTTAATGTTTTCTTCTTTATTTGCACCATATGGTTATCAAATGCTGGGGAGAAACCCACTGTAAGAACTGCAACACCACAGTAAATATTCACACACTGTGGCAACCGGATGATAATCTCACAGGAGATGACTGGTAAGCGATTTATGATTTACTGCGAGCTGCTGCAGTCTGTTCTTTGATTTTCTTTCAATATTTCATTATTACTGAATACAATCAGTTTTGCAATGTTATACAGCTCCTTTTTATTATCACTATTATATCTCTAATTGTTTGGAAATTTTTATTTATAGGTTCGATTGTCACATCTCATAACTTAGTCATTTATAATGATTTACAGAGAAGTCACAATCAGGCACAGAGCCGTATTTTGCTCCCTCTTAGGTTGATAATCAAGGATTTATGATAAGAAATGAGAACGCTACAGATTAAACGGTGATAAACTAATGAAACACACAGGCTTGGCCTTACACAATGCATACTATTGCAGCTCTTCTTGGCATTCGCAGCCGAGAAAAAAGGATAGGCTAAGCGAGGCCGCTTGTTGTTTGAATTTTGATTGCAACCATCTGCAACATTGCTGGTGTCATTTATTTGAAATGACAGCGTGAATCTTATCCGGTTTTCCCTGTGGGGTTTACACATGCATGATTGTGTTGCATGTGTGTGTGTGTGTTTAGCTCACAGAATTGGAAGGGTAAAACAAAGAAAAGGGAGGCAGGTTGGAACCCATACAGTATGGTCGAGTGTTATATAAGCGCCCCTGGCCGTACCCTGCCTTTTACCAGGAGAACAGCGAGTGCAGCTGGCATTAAAATGTTGTGTAAGGTCAGAACTTTAGCGTCAGTGGAAAATAGTTTTATGGCTTTCTGTCATGCTGCTCAGAAGAATCTCATCAAATTCACATCATTAATAAAAACAAATGTCTCACATCCAGTAGAATTACATTTTCTCAGTCTTATTATTAGACCCAGGGAAGGGTAGAACTTGTCAAACAGTATTGTACATTTTTATTTGACTTCACTTATAACTCAGGCAAAATGAAATAACAAAAAGAGTCATCACTGAGACAGAAGAGCATGTAAGGATGGACACAATAATTACGGCCGAGAGGAATTTATAGGGGTTATTAATGTCAGACAAAATGGCAGGAGCCTAGGGTGCTCATGAAGTTTATACACTTTGGAATGTTTTACCTGCCTAGCTTGTTTTACCTGGCCAGTACTTTGAAAGCCACTGACGAGCATATCACATTTATCATAACATATACTCATTTTGACAGCAAATTTAAAAACACCACCTCAGCTGCAAACAGTCCATCACCTCTGGCAACATTTTCTCTTCATTAAGGGCTTTCTGGCTAGGTGCTTGAATATTTTTCAATCTTTTACACAAATAGAAATATTGGTGAAATAGGCCTATTGTCTTCAGCTGCGTCTCCCACCTAGTACATATGGTGCAGTAACAGCAGCAGCAGTGACTGACTGACTCTCTCTTCATCAAACTGATAGGGGGTGCTCTAAGGCTGCCTGACTTACCTCACACTTGATAAGGCAGAGTAGCAGGACTGTCACCGGGTAAATATAACTCTGTGTATGTGTGTGTAAGAAAGACAGAGAGAGACCAAGAGAGAGAAATAAAGTATGTGTGGTATCATGCTAGACAGCTGGGTTTTATTGCTATCATCACGCCTTCTCAGCGATGGCATGTTTGACAGTGCGTCTGCTCTGCTCCCTTATCTATCAAGCATGTTCCTCTCACATCGGAGTTTATACAGAGGAATTAGACACTGTCTGTCACCATGATAGGCTACATTAGTGTGTTTTTCCTTCGTGCATATGTTTCCATTTCAGCTTGTTTGTGTCCATGTTTTTTTTTTTTTTTTTTTTTTTTTTTTTTTTTTTTTTTTTTTTTTTTTTTTTTTTTTACATTTTTTTCTCCTTGCAAGCATACCATGCTTGGTTCCATCTTGCACATGTGTTTTTCTCACACAGGTGAGCCTTGGGACACGAGTGAACGGGTCTCAGAGAGGGGTGTGGTGTTTTAGAAGCTGTCCAACTGATATTTCAGTGGCACGGTGACATTGCCAACGCCTGCTAATTACTGCCATCTGCCCCCAGGCCATGTTACTCAACCATAGGTTAACAAACAGGCCCTACTTTATTTGTCTCTCTCAGAGAGAAAGTCGAGTTCAAATGCCCAGGTGTCTGTCAACTCGTTGACTTGATGTTGACTTTTTATCATTTATGACACGAGGATCTGGGCCTCAAGCCACCTGTCTGGTTTGGTGTTAGCAAATATATTTCCTACATAGTCCTATATGCATTGCACTTATGCATGCATGCACACAGTTCCATGGCTTATGTGAGCACTCTGGAACATTACTTCATGTGAATTATGGTCACAAGCTGTGAACTATAGGTAAATATGTGTTTGTGTTCCCTCTTTGCTGCCAAAGATTATGAGATGGAAATTATTTGGCAGGCGTCCAGGAACCCATCACCATTTAGAGAAAAGATATTTGGCATCGGCTCATCACTCCAGGGCGAAGTGAGTGGACTGGAACTTGTGTGTGTGCGTGTGTGTGTGTTTGTGTGGGTGGATGGTTGGGTAGGGAGGGGATTCAAAATTGCAAAGAAATATCTGAAATATTAAATTTGGTAAAAATGTGTGTAATTTTAATCCGGAACTCTGCCTGAGTTGAATGTTTATGACTGGGAGTTTAGAGGAGCAACACCTTCCTGACAGTTTGCGACGGGCGATAAGAGAGTTTAGGATCTTGGCTCTGATAACTACACACCAACACACAAGCCTCACATAAACCACCACACACCCTCTTTGTCTAATCTTTGCAATTATTAGGGTATCATGTTTGGAGAAAGAGAGATAAAGAGAAGGCAAAGAGAAATGCGGGGAGGGAGATGTGGGTGCTTGAAGTGGAGGATCAGCAGACATGGGCGGGCGCTGCTCTGCTCCTCTCCCAGGCATCAACACCTCTCCCTGGGTATCTGCTCACTCAGATGCCCCTACAGTCTCTGGAGCTTCAGGTTTCCTCAGGGCTTTTTAGAAGAGGACACATTTTCATACTGGTACATCAGGGTAATGTTAAAAAAAATGGAGGCTGTCCATGCGGGATTTACGTTAAGCTGAGGGAGTCAGTCTTCGCCACGGGGTGGGGGGGGTGTAATGGTTATTAATGACCGTGTCAGATCTGTGAAGAATGAGATTTACTCTCTTAACAGGACCCCGGGTTTGGCTTTATAGATTTTCTGTCTGTGGAGAATACAGTGTTCGAACTCACCTGTGTGCAGCTCCATTCATGTACACGCACACACTTACACATCTCACTTTTGTTCGCTCCATCTCATTTTTCTTTTCTCTGTCTTATTCTCTGATACACACAAACATGAACATACACATTCTGGTGGATGTGGCCTCTGCTACGCTACACTTTGTTCTGCACAAGCTGGGGCTCCCACGTGGTGAAGGCAGCCATCTAGCTATGACAGCTCAGAGCAGCGAGGAGCCTCACCGGAAACCCAGCCTGCACTGTGAGATGAATAGCTTCCTGGCCACACACAAACACATGGGCAAATACACACACACACACACACACACACACACACGTGTATACATACAGTGTATATGCTGGGTCCCACCCACGCAGATCTGACACAGATAAGCTGCGCAGGTGTTTGTCTAGGCAAAGTAGGTTTTTATACCGTAAAAGTGGCACAGTTGTGAATGTTCATCTCGTAATCACGTAATGTTCCTCTTGTACGGTAGGGAGAGACGGCTTTTATTAGGTAATGTTATCAGGAATAACTAAACCTCACTGTGTATTTTTGTCTGTATGTCTCTCACTATCTTCCTTCTTGCTCTCTTAAAAAAAAAAAAAACATCAGTGATTGACATCTTTCCTCTTCCCTTTCTTGCAGCAGAAGCCAATCATGATCCAGGGGCAGGATCTCCATCTCCAGAGCCATCAACCCCCAGCCCTCAGAGGGCAGGACCTGGAGAGCATGATCTGCTGACCTGCGGCCAGTGCCAGACCAACTTCCCTCTGGGCGATATCCTGGTTTTCATTGAGCACAAACGTCGTCTTTGCCGGGGGCCTGGTAGCAGATCAAGGTCATTCTCCAAGCCTGGTGAGAGTGGCGGGGTCACAGGCATTCCCATCTCTCCTGGGTCCAGGTCACTGGAGCTTGGTAGAGGGTCCATTCCAGTGGAGGTGGGTGTCCAGGTGACCCCCAGAGGAGAAGAGGATGAAGAGAGGAGGCTGACGCCAGCAAAAGGAACCTGCCCTAAACAGGAGAGAGGAGGTACGAGATTGAAACACTGTAAGAGGATGCAATTAGAAGATCCAATAAGTAGCTCAATTCTAATTACACAATCTGAAAAGAACTCTCCTGTCTGTATAGAGGCACATTTCTTAAAAACACACGTAGATGCAAAAAACATGCACTTGTACACATCTCTCACCTGTCCAAGACAGATAGCTCTCTTTAAAGAATCCCGGCTGCTTGTTATTTTGACAGTGGCCTTCAGGAGGGATTAATGTAGCCTGGGATGATTTCATTAGAGTGAGTGAGAGCTGCACTGTCTGTCTATTCTGCTCCCTTCTAAGTAAAACATCACACACATAACCACACATGCGCACAAATCCAAACACACACCAAACACACACTGGCAGGCCTGAAGGACTTCTTCAGCTGAAACCAATTGTGAAAGGCGAGGAAGAAGGTGATAGAGGAGCAGCCCCCAGTGTGTGTGTGGTGTGTGTATGTGTTTCGCATGTGTCCGTGCACATCACGTGTCTGTTTGTAAAGAAATCCTGCAGCATATGAAAAAAAGAGGTTAAGAAAGCTGATTAAAATTCATCTGTGTGCGTGGTGAGGAGAAGAGGATTAATAAAGCAGCAAGGCCGTTCATCTGGTTGTGGGAGGGGGAGGCCTGTAGACTGCCAGCGCTGGAGGGAAACTAGCTCAAAGTTATCAGAGGAGACAGTCACCATCACACCCAAAAGCAGGGAAGGCTGTCCAGGTTTACGCCAACTAAGACTTGGTTAGAGATAGGAAACAGACATGTCATAAAAGTTAGCAGCCAGAATTACATCTCAACAAACAGACTGGTCACCACAGTGTTCAACTGGTATACATACATACAAGTCTTCTTAAAGGGGAGATTTTTATGTATATAAAGTTGTACACATGTCATTTTCCAAGCTATTGCCATCTTAAAATACAGAATAGCCCTTCAAAATAAAAAAAAACATTGCAACACAGTAATTTGACTGTGTTGCAGCCACGGGTAGAGTCACACGTTAAAATGACAGCACAGTTTTAATAATTATTACAATAATTTACAATTACAATCATTTAAAAAAGATATTACACAGCTGCCACCATAACGGGGTGGTTATATTGGTTTATAGTACATTTACATAAGCAACGGTGGCCTAGAAGAGTGGATGTCACAGGTCTGAATGTAAACCGTATGACAGCAGGCTGTGGTTGTTTGAGTTCACAGCAGGTGCACGACACATTTTTTTTATTACATTTGAGTGGCAAAATCTTTAGAGTACACAACATATTTTGTTAACAAACTGACTTTTAATTCAGTGTGTATCACACATTCATTCACTTTTTTTTAATTTTAGGATGAAATATCACAAACTGCTGTGTAAAAAGTCCCGGGACACATATGATATGTTTGCACATTTTTTCATTTAAGAATCAAAGCTGATGTTAGACATCTTTTGTCATCAGTGCAGAAATCAGTACATATGAGGAAATTTTGTGTGTGGCCAGCAGCTGTGTGTGTCCACAGTCTTTTGCAGTGGAAAAAGAAATGTATTTAAGGAGATCCCAAACAATATGTGACAGTTTTGGATGCCACTGCTAATTTCAGAAAATAAAAAGCATGGAGATTATTTTTTAGAGTGTTTTCTCAGGAGAAAACATGTTGACTGTAAAAGAAAGACTTAATATTCAATCCATTTGACAGTGTCTCCCTGCTCTTGCACTTTAGATAGTAATATGGCTTTTGTTAATTGTCTAATGTTTCAGTTATTCTCTGGAATTTTAACAAGAGTTAAACAGCCTTGAGCAGCGACCAGCCCAGAAGCCCAGTTGCAACATAAAAACATCTTTATGCAATGAAAAAATAAACACTTTGTCTGTTAGGTGGTCAGAGGAAAACATTTAGGTGGAGTTAGTGAGTGAGTCAGCCTGTTAGAGTGCCAGTTAGTTAGTGACTCAGGCCGACAGACAGTCTTATCACTGAGAGAGCAGGACTTGAAAGCACTCAAAGCCTCAAATAAGAGACAGGAGGAGAGCTTTGTTCTACACATTAGATTGCCACTCAAGGCAGTCTCAAGTTTCAACCAATTAGATTACATTATTAGTTCTAATTAAGTCCTATGTGTTAGCAGCACACACACACACACCCACAAAGAGAAATTCAATCCCATTTGTTTGCATGTAGTACTGAGAAGTTTGCACCCATAACACACATATATTTGCAGTACAGGTGGTCAAAAAGACATGAGAAAAAGCACACATTATGCCCTGAAGTGTGCATGAAATGCTTGTGCTGTATGCACAACCCTTAAACCTCTGCTCTCCTCCTGGATTTTTTTTTTTTTACCTGGCTGTGTCTTATAATATCCTGTCTGGCCTCTTTGTCTGTCACCACACTCGCTTAAACTGCTAACATGCTGCAAGGCTAGCAGATTCAACCCCGAAAGGTGCAAACACATTCACACAATCACACACATATGCACACTCTTTTGTACACATGGCGCAGATGAAAAATGGCCCTCCGGTGCTCAGTTTTTTTCCCCCTGAATTTCTCTTGCTGATGCATGCACTATGTATGTATCTGAGTGGACTTTGTCAGAGTATGTTAATATATGTATGTGTGTCGTGAATGAATTTGTGTGTGTGTGAAGAATGATGCGTGTCATCAGGCAAGCGAGAGTTTGTCACTAGGGGAGCGTTACCATGCTAAGACGACCCTGGCCCTGCTTTGAACTCCTCCCAGGATGGCTGCTAGGCCCCCTCGGAGCACTTTAAGACATCCAGCACATAAGGGCAAAGTCAGATCATGACAACCTCTCTCTCTCCTTCTGTCTGCCTCTCTCACTCACAAACACTGTGTATAGAGATCACTGTAAATATTTCATGAGTCGATGTGAACGACAATGACATCCTTAAACATCTCTTTCCGTTTCTCTGTCTGTCCACCACTGATCTCTTTGCTGTCACATCTGTGGGCAACAGTCAAACCACAACAACAGGCTGAAGGTTTTTGCATTGCTTTGTTGTTGCTGTTTTTTTTTTTGTTTATATATATATTTTTAGGTAGCAAGCTACTTACAAGCGCAACATGATACTGATACTTACCTGTCCCAAAAAGGCTCTGGATTTATAATCAAAGACTTTAAATGTGATACCCGCCATTTTAGAACTGTCACACCTACTTGTACAAGATTTTTGTGGGTGTGAAAATGTGTTGCAGCGCATTTTAAAGTGATAAAATAATTTTTTCTTGAGCTAATGAGCGACAAGGGATTTTTTTTTCACCTTAAATGAGTCACAGTAGTTTCTGGATGATAACCTGTGGTGTAACCTACAAAACGTATCAAAGGTGATAATGACCTTTGTGCCCAAAGAGGTCAGGCAGTTTTCAGCACTGGTTTCGTGCTGCTGTCACTAAATAACGGTGACGTCCCAGTTTCTACACCTCTCCACCAATGTGGATTTGGAGGTGTTTTTCTTCTTTCTTCTTCTCTCTCTCTCTGTTTTTTTTTTGCCCCACTACCCAATGCTCCTTTAATCACCTGGCTTGCTCTCATTTCCATATTAAATAGGCTTTAATCATGAAAAGCAATCAGGCTTTTGCATATTCATACCTTCCGCTGTACACCGGCTTCCCTGTCTCGCTCCATTGCCAAGCAGCCAGTAATCAGTAGGCAGGCGGCGTAATGCCATAGCCCCAGCACATCGCATGAAAACACACACACTGCATGAGTTCGAAATAACTTCACATGCTACTTATGTATTATCTCTACTCTGGGAGAGAGAGAGAGAGATAGAGGGAGAGGGGTAGAGATAAAAAAAAAGAAAGATGGCGAGACTGATCCCTGATTTGAGCTGTGAATATTTGTACAGAGGCTCAAGGAAAAGTCGATTTGCATAATGACTTTGTAGTTTTGCATTAATCACATTTGCATATGAAAATGCGTTAATTACTCCTGATGATTTTTTTTTTAAACTTGCTTCATTTGATGTCCAAGCTCTGGGGTTGTGATTAGGGGTTACATGGTGGCAGTTGTGTGTAGGTGGTGTGTGTACACTTATGTGTGTATGTGTGTGCGCCAGCAAGTGTGTCTCATGTGTGCTCATTTTCTGTGTGTTTATGTGTCCTTACATGAGTGTTTTGAATACTTGCCAGGGAATTTATTTTGTGTCTTCTGTTAGGCATGTGTCTATTTTCATATGTGTGTGTGTATTTCCCAGTTCCTTGGAGTGACAAATATTTTCTTATTCCTCTGCGGGGAAAAAGAAGAAGCGCACTCCTTCCCCATTTTTTTGAATAACATGAACATACAAACTCTAACACACACAAATTCATGATAAACTGTCTCCTTATCGTGTGTTCTTTTTTCTACCTTTAAGTTACAATAAGCAAAAGAAAAAGTGAGAGTAAGAAAAAAGATGTGGTGGTAGTTTGTTCCATGCAGTCAACATTACAGATGACTATATTTTAAGGACAATACTGTTTGCACAAGCAATGCACAAGGGTGGCTGAACATTACTTTTGAAAAAAAATTGATAGTCTTTTAAATACAGCCATATACGGCTCTTCCTATTTCATTAATTTTGTTCATCAGCACGTACTTATGCAAAATGCTGCATTTGGCTCACTCTGTGTAAGTAACTACTCAGCTGCCACTAGTAAGCATGCACTGCTTGGACCTAAAAAGTGAATAATTCACCATGTAATAAATGTTTTATTGGTCCATATAATTTCTAAATTTTAATGATACATTTCTAACAAATTAATGAAAGAGTATGGGACATGTTTTGCATGTTTTCCTAAGATTTGCAGATGAGCAGTTATAGTGATCCTACAAGAACATGCAGCCAAATCTTTTGTCTTAACTTATAAATTAAGGTAAAATAATCCATGACAGTAATTAATTCACCATTTATATGTCGCTGTTTAAGGGTTTATGTTCAGATATTTGTGTATAGGTGTGTGTGTGTGTGTGTGTGTGTGTGTGTGTGTATACAATTACAGTGTACATGTTTCTGCC